CCAGTCTGGGTGACAGAGTGAGACTCCAACTCAAAAAATAAAATAAAATAAAATTTCTAATCTGTCCAGGACTGATTCCTTGATAGGATCCATTAAAATCAGTAACTAGAAAAATGAAATTTAAAAGACATAAAACACAACTCCTGGGTTTTCATTATTAGATTCAACAGACATGAAATTACCTGCTAGTTGCTCTACAAGGTTCTAAGTTTTCAGTACTTCACTCATGGAGAGTAGGGAGCCCCAGGACTGACCAGCATCACCTCAGGGTCCACCCTCTGAGGAGTACTTGCTCAAGAACATCAGAGGAGAGGGAAGGTGCCCCTTGAGACATACACTCACAGATATGGGACCTCTAGTTGCTAACTCATGATTGGAGTCACCTAGGTAGACCAGTCCTCAGTCCTTAGCCCTGCTGAGTTTTGTCACCTGAGTTGTGATCCTTATTTATAAGCTAAATCAGGCCAATGCTCATTGAATCTGATCAAAGGAATTTTTCAGAGTCATAGATTTTATTTTATTTTATTTTATTTTATTTTGAGTTGGAGTCTCACTCGGTCACCCAGACTGGAGTGCAGTGGCTACTCCCGGCCACTGCAGCCTTGACCTGCTGGGCTCCGGTGATCCTTCTGCCTCAGCCTTCCAAGTAGCCAGAATTACAGGCATGCGCCACCATGCCTGGCTGATTTTTTGATTTATTGTAGAGATGAGGTCTCACTGACCAGGCGGGTCTTGAACCCACGGGCTCAGGCAATCCACTCACCTCAGCCTCCCAAAGGAGTGGGATTACAGGCTGAGCCACCGAGCCCGGCTGAATCATAGATTTTATTGAAACCCCATACGTGTGACAAAAAAGAAAGTGCCAGTGAGGTTATAGTTTAACAGACATCCCTGGTATTTCTCCTTTTACAAAACAACAGCATCACCTAAATATTATTACCAGGCCAAGCACATTTTTAAGGAAGACAGCCAATCAGGTTGATTGGCTTCAGGGGATCCTATAGTGCACAAGATGATGCAATAATTTCTGCTGCACGGATGTCCCAAGAAGCTCATTGGTCAAGTAACACTTGCAAAGAGAGCTTTCATAACAGAAAGCCAAACAGGATCACATGCTTCATAATGGCCTCAACTCTGGGCAGTCAGGGAATAGCGACACTTCTGTGAACATTTTTGCTTTTCCCCTTGATCAAGAGTTGTATGAATTTGTGGTTTTCTAGGCCAAAACTGGAATTCTGTAAGTACCAAGAGCATTAAAACGTAAATCTAGTGTTAAACTGAGAAACACAAAACTTACAAGTAAAGAAAGAAAAGGGATGAAAATAATTATAGTAAGTCCCATACATATGAACAAGGTTCCATTCTGGGAGTGTGTTTGCAAGTCTAATTTGTTTGTAAGTCCAAGAAAGTTAGCCTACATACCTAACTAACACAATCAGCTATATAGTACTATACTGTAACAGATTTATAATATTTTTCACACAAATAATACTTAAAATACACAAAGGCATGACCATTTGTAGAGGATGTACACGCATGACAATGTATGCCAGACACGTGAACTTACATGATTGAACAGGCAAATGTATGTTCACATCTTTGAAAGTCCAGAACTTCAAGGTCTGTATGTAGGGGGCTTACAGTATTAACAAAAAGAATCTGAGGCAAATAATGTATCTTCAACAAGGGTTGGTAGACTGTGGTCCTCAGGTCCAATATGGCCTGTAGCCTGTTTTGTAAATACAATTTTACTGAAACAGAGCCATGCTCTTTCTTTTCTATATTGTCTCTGGTTGCTTCCATGCAAAACTGCAGAGTTGAGTAGTTGCGACAGAGCCTGTATGGCTTGCAAAGCCTAAAATATTTACTATTGGACCCTTTATAGAGAGAGTTTTCTGATCCCTAAGTCACAAAATGAAGTAGCAGCTGGGTACAAATTTCTTGTCAACACAAAATGATTATGGTTTTGATTTTCTTGGGCTGTTCTTACTGTACTCAATCTTATGGATTAAAGATGTGAATCTGGTGAGGTCAAGGGTTCCCCCTATTGATTGAGGTTATTTAATGGCCAGGAGTTTAGGCTGGAATTTTTGTCAGTGACCCTGGTAGGTGTTCCTGATCCCTAGTTATAGCTGTCATCTTGGTGTCTCTATAAATTCTAGTGAGGGAATTTACATTGCCCTGGTCCCTGGATCCAAATAATGCAAGCCACCTAATTATCTGAGGCTGAACTTCTTCCTGTGTGGGTTTTACATATCTTTGGCCATTAAGATGTCCATGTGTATGCTCCTTCTAACTCTAAAGACCTGGAAACGTTGCAGATCTTAAGATAGCTTAGTGTGTTTTTCATCCAACTCATGAGACTCATGTTCTTTCATATTCTCAGGACCATATGGTACTGGGAGAACAGTAACATGAGAGTTTAATACGTGTCACCTCTGGAAAGATGATTTTCTGTTTACTTATGAATACCAAAGTGGAGACCTGGCTATCTGCCAGGCACTCTACATGGAAAGCTTTCTAGGTTTTTAAAATTTCTGCCCCAACCTCTGACTGTTGTCTCAGCTATACCTGATTTGCATCTGCAATTCATTCCAGCAACTTTCTTTAGAGTTTTCAAAGCACCCAACTTAATCCTCAAAGAAGCAGCAACGCTCTGCATATTCTAGTTTCATCCATTGAAGCAATAGTTAAGTGATACATAATTATCAGAAGTTCATGCATAAACAGGTCTGGGAACCTCCCAGTGACCTGTGTGGTGGGAGAGAGATGCCCAGGGTGATAGAGGACAAAGTGTCGGCCCTGGGCTGTCAGAGGGTCTAAATAGCATCAGCTAATGAGTTGGATGGGTCCAAGTTGGTCAAGAATGTGCCCATTGTGCTTTGGCCTGGGATAGTGGGCTAGCTCTGCCTCTGGCTGACTGTGCCACTCACTGACTCCTTGGCCTTGGGCCTTCACCTTTTGAGGCATCAGATTTTGGCCTGTAAAATGCAGGACCAAGAGTCTGTGCTGACTTAGCATCACCTGTTGGATTGGGGGTTGTTTTTCCATTGCAGACAAAATGAACTTTCTGCGCTTGGCTGACCTCCTCAACATCCAGGTGGTCACCATCAACATCAAGAGACATCCGCTGGAAACCTGGGTGCCACGGGTGTACCAGTCATCCACAAGCCTCTTGGTCCAGAAGATGGTTCGACACAGGCAAGTGAGACGGGCCAGTGTTCTGTGATGTTGCTTTAAAAATAGAGGAATCTGTTAATGCTAATTAGGACTGTCAAGTTGAGTCAAAGCCCAGCTATCATATTTTTTTTCACCCATTTTTCACCCCACACTTGGTAAGGAAGATGAACATGCCAGTCTCCTGGAAGGCATGTGGGTGTTCAGGGTGAAGGTTTTTTAGAAGCTTTCTTAGTTAAGGATGTTGATTTCCCAGGGACAAGTAACAGGCATGTGATGATCCTGTGCTGAACCCTAAACTTTCTCCCTGCCCTCTGATTCTGCCTAAGCTTTCATCTGATTCAGGTGCTGTGCACACACAGGAGAACCTGGGAAAACCACGGTTTTCTCATCTCTCCTCATTCCACCTGCGTTTTCTCCTTGGAGGGAAGGCCTGCCTCAGGGTCAGCGGGAGGCAGGTGAATTTCAGAGCCTGGCTGCACTGGAAGGGGAGTGCGTGTTGGTGATCCCATGCTCATCATGTTGCTGAGAAACAGTAGCCCAGGAGGGCCCTGAATAGGCTGGTGTTCCTTTCACTGAAATGTGGGATGACAGGGTCGCTTTCTCTCTTTTTTTTTTTTTCGTGCCAGGATTTTTGTCTGGGTTTTTGATGTCATCATTCTAATAAATGCCATATTCATTGCTCTGGATGAGAAGAACCCCTTCATTTCCTACGCAGAATGGCTCTTCCTTTCTCTCTATGTTATCGAGATTCTCCTGAAGTTGTACACATACGAGCCCAGAGCCTATTTTGAAAGGAAGCAGTTCTGGAACTGGTAAGACTGTACCCCGGGGAGGGGAGAGGAGGCCACAGGGGTGAGAGGGGTCTTTCTGCCACAATCTGGGGAACATGGCTGCCTTTCTCCAAGCTCCATCTGGCTGGTTTTGAGGGATCTTTTAATGAGATCCTAGGGCCAGGGAAACATCTGGTTCAGTAAAAACTGTTATTTATGATGGCAGTTTGAACTGACTCTAGCTAAAATTAGAACCACAGATCATGGCATCTTGAATTTGGAAAGGATCTTAAAAAAATAAAAAGGAAAGCACAGCTTTTTCTTTTATTTTCTTACAACACTTCTGACATCAAATGTGTAGGTATTTTCCTCATACCAACCGATTTCCAACTCTTTGGACACCAACTAGATATCCTCTAATTCAACTCAATTCTGACACCATCTATCTGCAGTGAGCAGCAGATCCCACAGGTTGAGGACTCAGTCCCACAAGACCACACCACCTTAAAGGTCAGTCTAAAGTCCTGTGCTTCTGACTGACTCTTTGTAAAACAGAGGTTCCCATGGCCTTCTCCTTGGGTTTGATAAAAAATTTGCCAGAAAAGCTCACAGAACTCAAAAACACAGCTTACTTAGTAGATTGCTGGTTTATTGTAAAAAAATAACAACTCAGAAAAAGCCAGATGGAAGAGATGCCTAGGACAAGTTTCAGGGAAGGGACATGGAACTTCCATGTCCTCTCTGGGCACACCGCCCTCTAGCACCTCCAGGTGTTCACCAGCCCAGAAGCTCTCCCAACACCAACCTTTGGGATTTTATGGAGCCCCATTATGTATGCTTAATTGATTATACTATTATTGGCCATTGGTGATCAACTCAACCTTTACCCCCCCCTTCTCTCCAAGGGGGTTGGTGAGGAGGGGTGCGATCGAAAGTTCCAACCCTCTAATCACATGGCTGGTTCTCTTGGCATCCCGCCCCCATCCTTAGGGACTTTCCAAAAGTCACCCCATTAATATAAACTCAGGTGGAACTGAAAGGTCTTGTTATAAATAACAGGAGATACATCTTTCACCTTAATCACTCTTAACATTCAGGAATCTGCGAGGACTTTAGGAGCTCTGGCCAGGAACCATGGATGAAGACCAAATAAATATTTCTTATTCTCACAGTCTTAGAAAATCATGCCCATCAAGGCAGTTCCTTGCATAGGTCCTTCCACCCGCTAGTCTCATTGTTGGAAATCTCTGCCTATGTGACTAGACAGGACTGTCAGCAAGCTTCTCCCTGGGCTGGGGATGTCTCCTCTCCAGGTTGCGTTACCCTTGGTCTCAAACCATCATCCACGTGCTGCAAATCAGCCTGTGTATCTGGAGTCCACTGTGTGTCAGACCCTTTGGGACACAGAGGCACAGGCGCAGGCCTGACACTGCTCTAAGTGCCAAGAAAGTCATCATGATTTGCATGTGGCCGAGTGAGGAACAATCAGTGTTGTCCAATATTTTGCCATCCTTAGGTATCATTGTCAGAGAAAAAGTAATGACATGATGAATTTCTTTTCAGTTAAAAAGTTACAATGCGTTTAGTAAATTTAATGCCAAGAAAGATTGTAATATGTATTCTGAAAGTATGTCAAAGTATTCTTACAAGTATAGGTCTATTTTGGAAGACAAAGTGATATGAATGAGTTGTTTCCTACAAATTCCCTTGCGTGATTCTTTGGAGTAGCCAGTGGATACTCAACGAGTTGTTCAAACAGAGTGTTTCTTGCTTCACACCTGCTGTCCTAAAAATTATGGAACTAGGTTTTATGGCTGGGTCATTGCTCTGCATAAGATGCTGGATTCGAAGTTTTCTTAGCACCCATCATATCCTGAGCATGGTGGTCTTTCCCTTGACTCATAACCAACTTGCTTCCTCCCTGTTAGGTTTGATACGCTGATCATCATTGCTGCCCTGGTGGCCACTGTGGCCAATGCTACCATTCAGTCAGGTCAGTGCCACCACCTCCTGTGTTCAATCAGCAGCCTGTTGAACATTCATTGTGCACCACTGAGATGTCTGGGAGTGAGGGGGAGAGGACACGAGAATTATTCAAAATGTTACATGTTCTTGAGAGCGATGGCAGCTTTGTGTTCAGCCGTATTATAGAGATTTTGTGTGCAGGCATCCATCACACCAAACACCTGGTTATCTCTCCATGGACCCTCCATCTCAGGGCTGACCTCCACACCCTTAACCCTATGCCCTCCTTGGCCCCTGACCCAGGTCCCTGCACACTACCCTCTTCTTTTTGCCATCCTCTGGCTTCACCAACACGTACCCCCAACCTATGCACATTCCTTCCTGTAGACTGCAGGTGGTATTATTTAAGATAGTGCAGCTTCTTAACATAACTCTATGAAATGCATTCTGGGTGGGAAGCTGCTTGTTGAAAGGTGTTCTGTACAACTGGATCCAGAGTCACATTTTTTTTTTTTTTTTTTTGAGTTGGAGTCTCACTCTGTCACCCAGACTGGAGTGCAGTGGCCGCTCCCGGCCACCGCAGCCTCAGCCTGCTGGGCTCCGGCGATCCTTCCGCCTCAGCCTTCCAAGTAGCTGGAACTACAGGCGTGTGCTACCACGCCCGGCTCATTTTGATTTATTGTAGAGATGAGGTCTCGCCAAGTTGCCCAGGCGGGTCTCGAACCCACGGGCTCAGGCAATCCACTCATGATGGTTAATGTCTACACCTACACTCACGGTTCCTTAGCTCTGAGGGAGGGAGTGGAACCACACAGGTCTGCCCTGGCTTCAATTTCAGGGTGGTTTGTAATTCAAGGCGGTGCTGCCTCATTGATCCGAGGCACCGTCCCTTCTTGAAGTGAGGTTGCATCATTCCCTGGTAATCAGAGGCTCAGACCTCATTGAATAAAAAGGACAAGCTAGAGGCCCTGAGAAGATGGATTGTTAAGTGACCGTTCCTTTTCCAGCAAGTAAATACAACAGTCAGCAGATACTGGATATTGTCTTGATACTGAGAATACTCCGACTCTTAAGGGTCATCATCAGCATTCAGAGGTAAATATGAAATGGTGTGAGATGCTGCATGTGGAGGGTCCCCACACTGGGCCTGGTGGGAGGCACTCCTGCCTTGAACCCATAGTCACGCTTGACTATGAGTCCAGGATGTAACTTGTGTAGAGGACTTTCTCACTGTTTGACACGCTGATCATCATTGCTGCCCTGGTGGCCACAGCGGTCAGTGCTCTGGGGTGGCAGTGGAGGGGAGAGAAGCAGTAAGGAGCACTCATATAGCAGCCCCCCCAAGAGATTCTGTCAGCCACAGTTATCCCTGTGACCTGGCCCTGAATAGCGCCTGCTTGCACGGTTACTGAGTACAAGTAGTCCTGATGGCAGCTAATGCTAACTGGAGTGTACTAGCCATTGTCTTATCAAATCCTGTCTACAATCCCTGATATGAGGACTTTTATGATATGTCATTTTCAGGTGATGCCACTGAAGTTCAGAGAGGCTAAGTAACTTCCCCAGTGGTGCATGGCTAGAAAGAGGCAGACCAGGATGCAAACCCAGGAGTCCGACCCCAAAGCCCAGATAAACCCCACCCTTGGTTGTTGATGGGCCAGCTTCCTTTCAGGGAATGCTGGAAGACGGCTCTATCTGAGGACCGGCTTTCTTCTTCAGAAAGTGTACAGTTGTCAGCATGGACTTCCAGAATCGCCTTAAAACAGGCTTGATTTGGATGGAGAAAAAGGTGGAGGAAAAAAGCAGATGAGGCTAGATCAGCACTCATCCATGCCTTCCTAGCAAGGTCTCTGTGATGACCTTTCTCTGGTTGGTTGAGCCTGCTTTGCTTTGCTTCAGTGGAAACTACTTCAGTGGTTAACCCTCACACCACCAGCGTGGTGGGTGGACCATTTCTGACAAAGGTGAATTCCTGAGGACACTTAAAAGACTAGATTCAGTCCTGGGGAGGGCTGTGAAGGGAAGCATTCTTGTGTGGTGTGACTTTTACCTTCCATCTTCCCCTGTGCCCTGTGTTGGAAACTTTGTTCTGTCCTAGATTCCGGATTATAGTGACCACTTTAATCAACATTGGCCCCACGATGCTGACATTTGGTGGACTTGTCTTCGTAAGTAGCCGCTCTGGTTGCTATTCAATGTGAAGTAAGTGGCAGTGTTCATTCTTGGCAACTCTCGGAAAACCTTATGTTAAGGGGAGAAAGAAAGGGAGAATGAGTAAATGAGATTCATTCTTATAAAGTTTCTCGAAACATTGGGCATACATCAGTTAAGTCACATGGGCTGCTACAGTAAACACCAACAATCCAGTGGGCTAACCCAACTATAGTTTCTTTCCCACCCACGATCCAGCTTGGTATTCCTTGCTAGCAAATGGTTCTCAAGGAGGTAGGCTTGCCTACGCCCCACCCCAGCCATAGATCCTGCCTCACTCTGGTGTGGAGACAGAGCCCACCTGCTTCTTGAGATTCCCAGTGGTGAGGATGAGGTCATACAAAGCGACATGGAGGCCTGGCCTCTCATCCTGGGGTAGTTCCACGCTGTGGATGAGGGATCCATATCCCTCTGTGGTTGTCGCTGAAACAGGGCCCTTGTTTTTCTTTTCACTGATAATGGTAAAAAAATTTCATTAGCACAGAGGAATGAAAGACCAACTGTAAGCCACCCATTCCCGCCCCCCAAATCCCTCTTTCCCAGAAGCAACCATTGTTAAGAGCTTCTTGTTATTCTTCCTAATATTTCTCTGCATGTGAGTATATCATCTGCATACCTGTTGACATCTGGTTTATTGTTTAATGGAGCAATATTTTAAAAATATTGTTAGGAAAGTGTCTTCCATTGAATATTTTTGTCCTGTGTTCTGTGAGGCACATGTCTCCAGGTAGGCTCTGCTGTGGTTAAGAGGGTCCCACGGAGGGAGGTCCAGGACATATCTGCCCAGCCCTGAGACTGATATAGGTGGTCTAGCCTTTTGCCATCCCAAGTGAGTCATGCTTGTGCGTGTATCTGTGTGCCAATGTGAGTGTATCTGTTGGATACATTCCTAGAAGTGAACTGCTAGGTCAAAGGTAAACGGGCTCAAAATTTGGGTGGACAGCGTCACCTTGCCTTCCCAAAGTTGTGTTCCCATTCATATTCCAACAGTATGTGACAGCATGTTTCTCTGCACTCCTCACAACTGGGGTGCATTAAATGTTTCCATGTTTTCCAATCTGAAAGGTGAGGAAATAGTATTGTGTTGTTTTCATATGCATCTGTTTCGTTTTTCATGAGGCAGGGCATCTTTTCCATGTTCTTTCAGCCGTGTATACTTATTTTTTTGGTGAACAGCCTATGTGAATACATCTGTGGTCCATTCTTTTATTAGTTTTTTAAAAATATGATTTGGAGGACTATTTGGCTATTAAGGATAGGCCCTTGGTAAGCTGCAAAAGCAATTATTGTTCCTTGTCTGCCACCATTTTTGTTTTTACAATAGAGAATTTTTGTTTTGCTTTGGGGGGGCGTATAAAAGATTAAGTTTATTATATAGTCACACCTATCCATCTTTTATTTTATAGTTTCTGAGTTTTACGTCATGGTCAGTTAGGCCTTTTTCTACATAATTTTTTCCCCTAGAACGTTTATAGTTTTATTTTTTGCACTTAACCCTTTGGCACCTTTGACATTTATTTTGGTATCAAAAATAAGATAAAACTCTAATTTCTAAATAATTTTTTTCCCTAAAGGACTATTATTTATTGAGTACTTAACCCACGAGCTTGCTAGCAGCTTCATTTTTGACTTTATAAATGAACCTGAGGTGGGGGGGTCAAGGTATGATCCAGCCGGTCATATCCCCTGACCCTCCATGGATAGCTCAGGCTTCCCTGACAGTGGCTGAGGGGCTTATCCCTGCCCACCTTCTTCTCGAAGCTGCTTGGATTATTGGCTGGGTAGGGTGACCCTCCCTGGGAACACCAGTAGTGCCCTTTGACGGGCCCTGGGAACATGACAGGGCAGTACCTGCCATGCTTCCTGCTGCTTCTGTGTACCCCTTCCCCTGGGATTCCACAGCTTTGGACACCCACTGGTGTCCCGGTGTCTCTCATTCTAGGTGGTCTACTATGCTTTTGCAATCATCGGGATGGGCGTGTTCCATGGCAAAGTCCAGTTCTTTGACCCGAATTCCACCGCTCCTGATGCCACGGTTTGTGGGAGCCCGGCCTTGAGGGGCTCAGCATTTGCCAGAGGCAGGTACTGCAAGAACAACTTCAATGACCTCGCCTCTTCATTCATTGTGCTGATGGAGCTCACGGTGGTTAACCAGTGGCACGATATCCTTTCTGGAGAAGCGGGGTGACCCACAGTGGTGGGGCGGGGGATGCTGGAAGTCAATTCTCAGAGGAGGATAACCTCTGGGCATCTCTGAGCTCAGGGGGGCCTGCTGGGCTTCTCGAAGGTCTGGTTCCTTAGCCTCCTTCCTACTCATTGCAGACGGCTTTGCCCTCGTGACCCACCAGGCTGCAAAGCTGTATTTCATCTTGTTCCACATCGTGGTTGTCATCCTCATCGTAAAGTGAGTTTCCTCCTGCCATCCTGGCCATTTAGGTCTCCTCTTTCATATGTCTTACTGCTGGCACTTCCCCTCGCCCTGTCCCACCCTGTGAAGGTCGTGGAGGGGTCTCCTCTCCCCACTAGATGCTCAGCCTCTGGAGGGAGGCCTTTTCTGTTCACACGTGTGTACCTCACAGCGTCCACAGCATCTGACACATCCGCGTGCGATAGATGTCTCAGAGCCTCACGAGGAGTTTGGGTCAGGAGGATGCGGGGGTGCCGGCTGGTCTTCCCGCCCTTCCCCACTGCGATTGAATCACCTCTAGAGCGTCCCAGCTGAACCGCTGCCCAGCCTCTGCTTAAATTCATACAGCCGCTGGGACTCATTAGAACCCGAGTCAGTTCCCCCATTGTCTGGCTTTGGTCCTTAGGTCTTTCGTAGGTGAAAAGGAAATGTGTCCCCTGGTGATGCTTATAAAAGGAGAATGTGTGCCCTGGTAATTCTAGTAGAAGGGAAATGTGCCTTCTGGCAAATTCACTGGTTCCAGTTCTGTCCTGACCTGCTTTCCATGGGAGAACTCACACCGTGACAGGGTTCTCCTTCCGGCTGAAATATTTGACTCTAGCTCCCTGGTTCCTCATGTGGCCTGCATTTGAATTCCTGTGATCCCTGTGATTCTCATTGTGTTTTTTGGTTGGCAGGACTCCCCTCCACCCCAAAGCCTGGGCCTGGAATTCTTGGGGTGACAGCTTAGCATCCGTGCCTTCCTTGTCATATCAGGGCTGTGCTGGCCCCCTCACCCTTGCTGACTGTGGTTCAAGAGTGCCTCAAGGATGTCCTAGCAGAGGAGGGGAGAAGAGAAGCCCCTGCAGGTGGCTGTGGTTCAGCAGCTTATCGCGCACAGCCGTTGGGAACATGGAGTGGGAAGAGGGTGAGGTGCCTACCCGAATGGCCCACAGAGAGGGCCCCCGAGTGCCCGCTCAGGCCTAGGCTGGAATTTTTTCCTACCTCCTCTAAAAAACCTGCTGTGGCCTTGGGCTACGTTGCCATTATTGTCAAGTCAGAAAGGGTGAAGGCTCTGAGATTTGACCCTACTTGCAAGCTAACTGGTTCATCTGCCACACACATACTAACAAAGAACATGAGACAAAGAACTTGTAATTCACTGCAAGAGAAGCCGCCAGAGCAATACTTCGTGTCAGTTCCCTGAAGCCCCACAGGGCAGTGACTCCAAAATTAGAAGACTGGGTTTCATGTAGGGCAGCTGGTGTCCTGCCCATCCTGCCCTCACAGGAGAGAGAGAGCGCGCGCTTGAGAGAGCCAGAGCAGAGGGGAAGGGAGAGTGGGGGAGAGGGAGAAGGAGGGAGGGAGGAAAAGAAAGGGTGAGAGCGGGGGAGAAAGAGAAAGAAACTGCCTTTATCTTTACTCTAGACTATAAGCAAAGCACCTGGGAGGGAAGGCGAGGTCTTTTCTTTTTTGCCCCGGACTGTCCGTAGGGAAGGAGACATCGCTAAGTGCTACTATCCCAGACACACATTCCTAAGATAACTCTAAAAGCCTTTGCGTAGGGATGTTAGACACCTGAGATATTTGCAGAGAATCATCTCCCAACAAGTATTTCACTTAAGCTTCTCCTTCACTCATAGTGGATTTTCTCCTGAAGTCCACTTTTCAGACAGGCTGCAGAGGAGGGATGATACTCCAGATGAACGGAAGTCACGTCCGGTCCTTGAGAGATGTCGTGTTTCTTGTCAATCCTACCTTCTTCTGTATTTCCTTGACAACAGCTGGCTGCCCTTTTGTTTGCGTTGAATGTTCTTTGGATCCAGGATTCATCACCTGAGCCACAGCCGATCAACTTAACCCCTTTATCCCTTCCTCATCCTCAGCATTTTCATAGCATTTGTCTTGGAGGCGTTCTTTGTGGCGTATTCATTGGAGAAAGGTGAAGTAGAAACTGCTATTGAGAGGAAGATTCAAGAGCTCGGAGTGGGAATCCAAGAGTGAGTGGATGTTTCTCTGGATGGCCCTCAGAGTGGGCCGCACTTGCACAACCCTGCCCTTGCGAAGTCGGTCCATCGGTGGCCCGTGGCAGCCGGCCTGGCCCTTTGGACCCGTGTTAGGGCCCCTAGATGTGGCTGGACCCTGCCCACCAGGCCATGCCTGGGAGACCACTCAAGGGACTCGGCTGGGGGACCTGACCTGCTCCTGTTGTCTCTTCCTCCTCATAGGGAAGAAGTGCAGGATGGGAAGCTCACTGATCCCGTGGATGCCAAGGACGGTGGCTTTCGTGGGGATGACAGAGACAACAAGAGGAAGGCCTTGAAGGGGTTGTACTGCCGAATTGCATCGAAAAGTAAGTTTCAACCTGATGCAAAACTAGAACTGACCTATCTCCGGTCTGTCCTCACAGCAACGGTGGGCTGTTTCCAGAATGCAGATCTGACCTCCAGTGACTTCCCGTTGCTCAAGGATAAAGACAAGGCCCCTCACCATGGCTGTGGCTGCCCACATACCTGACTTCTCTCAGCATCTCAGCCTCTCACCCTTCACACCAGGCCTGCCATGCCTGCTATACTTAGCCCCTTGGCTCCCCTGCTTTTTCCTGCCACAGGGCCTTTGCATGTGCTGTGTTCTCTCCTTGGCTCACTCTCACCTTTCTGCTTTGGGTAATCAAGACCCCTCATCTGCTTAGGCAACCCTTCCTCAGGGAAGCCCCTAGTCTCCCCAAAAGCTCTCCTTCTCTCCTCTCAGGAATGCTGGGAGCACATTCATCACTGAATGGCTATTTTGGACTCCATCTGTCTTCCTTGTAGACTCCAAGCTCCATGTGGGCAAGGGCGTGCCTTTTTGGTTCTCTGTGTCCCGCGGGCCTAACAATGTCCTTGGGATATAGGAGCCCTTAACAACCAGTTGCTTACTTCCTTAATTCTTCAATAAATTAATAACTAGCTGAGAAACCTAAAGCAGTCTGCATCTCAGTTTGGGCTCTGGCTGAGGTGCCCTGCAATAAGCTCAGTCTGAGGAATAGGGCATAGAGGCAGGAGTGGGTGAGCATGCAGCCCTTAAGGGTAGCCGCCCCCTCCTCACCCCGGAGACCTTCAAGAAGCACTTTCTCTGCCAGATGTGGTGGCGGACACCTCTAATGTCAGCCGTTTGGGAGGCCAAGGCAGGAAAATTGCTTGAGCCCAGGAGTTCGAGACCAGCCTGGGCAACATGGTGAGACCTTATCTCTAAAATAATAATTTTTAAAAAAATTTAAAAAGCAGCACTTTCTCCTTGGTGTTCAGGGCCTCTCATGGATGGGGAGCTATGGGACAAGCACCAGGATGAATGACTGACTTCCTGACGTTTGCAGCCTTTTTTGTCAAGGAGTACTTGGTTACTGTGCACAGGGCCATGACTTTGACTCTGCGCCATCCTTTGAGAAGGGCTTGGCCTACCCAGGCCCAGTGCTTTTGGGACCCCAGCACATCCAGATTCCATGTTCCTCTCTCTCCTTCCTCCTAGAGTACAGAACTGTGGACACCTTGCTGCAGCGGATGTTTGAGTCTGAAATCGACCCCGAGGAGGAAGGCTCTTCCTTGGATGAGATTCTGAACTTCTCACCCAGCGACATCTACCCCAAGAATCCCAGTTTTGAAAACAGTGTGTGACCCTGGGCTTGCAAGGGCCCACAACTGGAAACCAAGGGAAGCTGAAATCTCTTTCTGCAAGCGCTCTCTGGAGATGATATTTCCAGGCCCTTCTGTGTTCTGAGTGGTAGGAAGAGGCTGCCTCGATGTGCCCCACTGGGGGTCAGTCTTGGGTCTGATCATGGAAGTAAGACAAGGAAGATTGAGGAGGAGAGTTGTGAGGAGCACTGGTCACATACTGCGTACACGTGTGAAGTCTTTTTTGTGTGTGTACAAAAGCTCTTCACTTATTTTTATATGGTATTTTCTAAACTAATACTGCGCTACAATGTTACATGAGTGAATTATGAATATTTAAAGTGGCAAAGGAATGTGTTCTAATACAGTATCTTTTAAACACATTGCTTATTCAAAATGAAGGAAAATATAAATGAAAAAATAATTGTCATAATTACTTCTTTGGGGGCAGGGTTGTGCTCTTCTTTAACTGCACTACAATTAGAGCAAGATTTTGAGTAAGTCACTGTCTGAGGTCACTTCCCCTGCTGGGAATCTCCCAGTGTAGCAACATGCTTCTTCTGAGAACTTAAAATGATTTTATTTTTATTATTTTCAATTGTGGTAAAATACACACAACACAGCATTTACCAGCTTAACCGTTTCTAAGTGGACAGTCCAGTTGTGCTCGCTGCACACACACGGTTATGCAGCCATCTCCGCCACGCATCGCAGAACGCTTCGCCCTGCAAGATGGAACCTCTGTACCCACGAAACCACCCCTGCCACTGCTTCCCCCAGTCCCTGCCACCCACCATGCTACTTTCTGTCTCTGCAGGTTTGGCTACTCTAGATCGCAGTGGTGCTTTGAGGATGAGTGCTCCTTTCCAGAGTGGTCAGGTGTGCCTCTTATTCTTCTGGGCCCTGTCATGGGTTCTACTATGAGACGGGAATCTGAAAGAACATGTCCCCATGACCCAAGGTCTCGGCACGGTGAGAAACGAGCCATATGTGTCCTATCATGTGTCAGGGTGGCAACTGAAGTGAAGCTAGCTTGAGAGGGACTTCTTTTCTTTGGTCATGAGGGTGACCTCTGGGCTGTGTCATGTAGGAGCAAAGCTAGGGTCTTCAGCGCACAGACTCTGGGGCCAGACTGTCTGAATTTGTACTCACCTCCCCACTGACCATGTCCCCGAACCTCTTTGTGGCCCATTTTCTGCAAGCTGAGAACAAATGTTCCCACCCTCCCAAGACTGTGGGGACCCCAGGAGGATGAGGATGGGTGCAGTCCTGCCTCAGCACCGGCCTTGGTCAGTGCTGTGGCAAAGCTGGCTGTGAGTCTCTCTTCGTGCCTTGAATCACACATGGCGTTTGGCATTGGGGTGCTAGAACCTCATCATCACGGGAATCCCAGGAGCTGGGCCTCACTGGCCCTTCTGCTATGGTCTGTGGCGTCCTGCCATCCTTCCAGACTGCTCTCTCATTTCTTTGGATATCTAACATCTATTATGATGTAAAGTATTATCCTTAACGTACTGAGTTACAATTTAATTTTTAAAATTTACTGTGTATTAGGAATTTCTCTTTTACATTAGTAAGTAATGCATAGTCATTTTTATGACTCAGTCCAGGAATATAGTAAAAAGTTGAAAGTTTCTTTTTATTCTTCCTTGTCTTCCTTTTATTTTCCCCACACCTTTTTATTTTTACCCTCTTCCCAGTGCTGACTGCTGAATTTGTTTATCCTTCTGGAAGGTAATCTGTTCATTTACAGTTGTGTATATCGTACGTATCTATAGTTGTGTTCTTTTATCCTAAGTGGGATACCATGACATATTTCATATATGTTGTTCAACATCCTTTTTTCATTACAGTGGTGGTTTTGTGTGGTGCTCGCATGCGTGCGTGCACACACAGTGCTGAGTATTCCATCCCATCCGTGTTTCATCATTTGTTTAAGACTTCACCGATTCACGGACTTATACCATGTTCACCATTAAGCAGTAAGGGAGGAAACCGTGTGATGTAAATTATTCACGGGGTGTGTGAGCCGACCCAATTCCTAGAGAAACTGCAGGTCTCCGACTGGCGGCACTCCGGGGACCCCCCAGGGGCGCCACCGTCCCGGCCATTGCGTGCAGTCTCAGGGGGGGAGGAGGGAGCGGTGGCTGGGATTGCCTACCTTTTCTGCAGGCTTTTCTTCTGCCTTTCAGTGAACTAGACAAGAACTGAGTCCAGCCAGTGTCCTCAGGGAAACTTGCCTCCCCAGTGGAGTGACCTGGGTTTCTCTCCCTCTCTCTCTCTGTGTGTGTCTGTAATCCAGACAATTAATTACAGAATCCTTACATGAAGATGATCTCTATCGTTCGTACTAGGCAGATGGACAAAAACAAAACTACTGGTCAAAGTGTTTAAAGTCCCTTATTATGTGTCAGTCAAGCCTTTCATCCTGGGACAGGTTGCTGCCAGGAAATCAGACTGTGACGTCTTTTGCAAGTGAAGCCCTTGGCACAGATCATGAACCAGACAGGCATGGCGGTACTGAGATGACCCTGTGGTCAAGCTGTTGGTGTGAGTTACACAGAGGATGTTTTTGAGCGTGATGTAAGTTGAAGATCCATTAATAGCCCACGGGCTGGTGGTGACACAGGACATATCAACAAGGGCTGGAAGCCAGAGTCAAGGGTCCTCCACATCCAAAGCTGAAGGCACCCAGAACTGCCTCTCACAGATAAACACATCTAGTTCTTATTTTGATAACATGGCTCCCTTGTCGCCAGTCCTGGTTTCCTTTGAAAACAGCCATTTCAAAAGGAAAAAACATCCCACAAATAGGGCTTTGCTTATCAGCACTTGGTTGTTTAGAGTCAATGTAACGTTAGTTTGTCTGATAAAGTCTGACCCTGGATCATTTTCAACTTTCTCCAAGCTGAGTACGTGTGTGACTATGTAGATTAGTTTTTATTTTCAAATTAAAAACGTTTTTTTGGGATCCCGTTCCAGCAATTCATCCTACAGACACATTTGCACCTGTACTCACTGTTTTGTAGCAATGAAATTGTGAAACCAATTAAATATTTCAAAGTACGGGATTGGTTAAGCAAACGATGGCACGTTCACAGGAAATGGCATATAGCTGGATCAATGCAGACGGAAAGATGGGCAAGAGAAGTGTAAAAATAGTGCTACAGTTCACATTTTTGTAAAAAATAAACACTTAACATGGTTCAAAATGTCTGTCTCAAGCCAGTAATCATTAGGCCTACGAGAAACGTTAGAAGAGCTCCCACTAAAGCAGAAGAGGTGTCCACCATTTCTGAACCCTCTTCAGGTGCTGGTCAGTGACAAGGGAAAAAGCACAAACAAAACATTCAGAGTGACATAAAATAAGGATAATTTTCACAGTGTCATGGCTAGTTGTTTGGAAACTTCAACTGAGAAGCTTTTTACAGAAATCAACAGACTTCATATATTCAAACTACCAGCTTAAAACAATAGGGAAAAATGATCTAATTTTAAAATAGCAACCAAGAGTTTAGTCCTAAATATTTAAATTAGTTAAGTAAAGTAGAGAAAGTTTTTCTTATTTTTCAACTGAGGATGGTGTTTTAAGATACAAAAGCCATCAGCCATTTAAAACTATAAACCAGAGCACAGAGTAAAATCTAAAAAAAAAATTTTTTTTTCACAGCAGCAGAAATCTTACCTGTCAAGAGACAGATAAAAAACCAAGAAATGTATTTTTGTCTCATATGCAAAGGACTCCTAAAAATTAACAAGGAAAAAAATGAAAAGTGGACAAAAGATAGAGTTCACAGAAAAATATACATAGCTCTTCAAAAAATAAACTTGAACTGGGTACAGTGGCTCACACCTGTAATTCCAGCACTTTGGGAGGCCAAGGTGGGAGGATTGCTTGAGCTCAGGAGTTTGAGACTAACCTGATCAACATAATGAAACTTCATCTCTACAAAACATAGCCAGGTGTGCTGGTATGTACCTATAGTCCCAGCACTCAGGAGGTTGACACAGGAGGATTGCTTGAGCCCAGGAGTTGGAGGATGCAGTGAGCTGAGATTGTGCCACTGTGGTCCAGCCTGGGCAATAGAGACCCTAACTCAAAAATAAATAAATTTGGCCTAACTCATAAAAGAAATTAAGACTGTAAGGAAATATTTTATTAACCTGTTAGATTAGCAAAGAGCTTAATCTGTCCTGCTAGTGAAGGTGTGGGGAACAGGGACTTTTATAGATGCTGGCACAACTCCTATGAGATGCTATTTGCAGGTATTAATACAAAATTTTAAATGCACTCACTGTTCACCTGGCAATTTTACTTCTAGGAACTTACCACTGCAGGTATACCCTAGACCCATATATTACACAATCATTAAAAAGAATGAGGCCATTCTATATGTAGTTATTCTTTGCTGTAAGTGAATAAAAAGCAGAACTAGTTGTATCAAAAATACAGTATATAGATTCATGTATACCATCATTTTTGGATTCATAAAAAGGGAGTAGTTGCCTCTGGAATGGGGAACATGACGGTTGACAAGGGTAGGGGAAGCAACTCACTGTCCCCTTGAATTGTGTGTCATCTCTGGTTTTTTTCGTCATAACTCTGAGGGAAGAGGGAAGAGGAAGAGGGGCAAGAAAGGGAGGTCAGTCCAGGCTACAGGGCCTGCTACAGCCTTACAAGTTAATAACTGCTAAGTTGGGTGTTTTCATTTGACTAAAGATCTATAGAACTTATGTAAAAGACTGCTTTCAAGATCTGAGATTCTCCTTTGGTGCTTTAAAAAAATAGACTTAGGATTTGTATTTTATAGATAGCAATGAAGGACAAATACAATCAAGGACAGGCAAACTTTATTCATAAAAACGCAAGGTCCCCTGGATATATATGGAGAATTTTTGTGTTATTTTTTATTTTTGATACAAACACAAAACTTCAACTCTGGAAAAAAGCTGTCTTGCCCCTTTTGGACTTAAACAGGTCCATATTTAAAAAGTGATGGTCACATCCAAGGTATTCTCCTGAATGCTTGTATCCCAATACAGCCGGTCAGCTGCTACACAGGGATTTTAGGGCATATGTTTGTTGAAACATTTATAACAACTAAGTCACATGGATATATTCTATGGAATTTATTTTAAACAAACATTTACATAATAAATGGGGGAAAAATCAAGGCTCAAAGTAGATAGGTTAGCATTTACAAAGTGATTTTTAGGGACCGTGCATGTCCAAATTTTATTTTCGTGAACGCTTGTATTCTAAGAGCAGTACAATGAGCCTATTACGCAGGGTCCTTATCTTGTTAGCATAGTGTTGTTGAAATATTTTCTTCAACTTTTGCCTTAGCAAACCCAAAGATGGAAGATGATGACAATCTGGTATATTCAACATGGTGTGAAAAAATTCATTCCACATATCCAAGTGAGGAAGCCTAAAGAGACAAAGCATAAATAAGGGCAGCAGGTAGCCTTCAACACACAGGGCAACTCACTCCTGCCTCTGGTATCCACAGCCTTGCAGAGCTGAACAAAACAACTCTCTCCTAAACACAACATAATGTGGCAAGAATGGAAATGTTGAATCTATTAGAAATGAGAGAAATCAAAGATGCAATTAAATGTCTTCTGTAACTTGTTCCCCCCAAATAATTTGTCTTTTAGCAACAACTTTTCAGTTGAAAGATTTTTTTTTTAAAGACAATCTATCTGCTTTTGGCTAGCTAAAAGACAGAATTGGATGATCTGCCCAGTAGTTCTGCTGAGCGTAACTGCACATGGGCCAGCACTGGGGAGATGGGCTGGACTGCCCTGGAGAGAGTCAGCCATGAGAGTTCAGCTACTCTAATGGTTACGGTGAACTGTAAAGACTCCAGAACAGGGAGGTGAGGCACTGGGAGGAAGCAGAATGTGACTGAACTGTGCTCTGGCCAGGACACACAGCCTATCGTCATCCCACTGGGGGCGACTTGGGGCTTTTCTCCACGCTGGTGGTCAGTGTGATGCTGATTCTACAATTTGAGCAAGAGACAGAATGAAGTATCTGCTAGATGTGATGGCTCGTTATGCAGAATAAAGTATGGTTGCTACACATTTTCCTCCAGAACCTGGACCCAACATTATTTATGCACAGCATGTGATATTTTACAAGATTACTGCTATTTTCCTTTTCTTTTTTTTGGGGGGGGGAGGAGAGAGGGGGATGAAGGTTACGAGAGTTCCATTTTAAATTTTCTCAAGAAAGTATAAATATATGGAAAAATCCCTAAGGCTGTACACTTAGGATGAGAGTACTTTTCTGTGTATATTTTAATAATTCATAAACAGTGAAGAAAGTATAACTGATACAATGGATGTGCACATACTCAATGGTCAGCTTAGACAAAACATTACCAGAAGTTTGTTATCATACTATATTAGGAGAGCTATCCATGTTGCTAGGAAGGGCTCTTGTTGAGTTGTTAATTTTCACTGTGATTTTATAGATGAGAAAATAGTCTAGGGGAAACTAAAGTCACATAGAGCTGGGACTTAAAACCCTATCCATCATCTCCTGATGATGGACAGATCCCTCATCATATTGCTTTGTAATTTACAAAGCACTTTCATATATATTATTTCCTTTGCTTCTTACGAACATATGAGAAAAGTAGGATCAGTATTGTTCTCATTAACATAGACAAAAAAAAGAAAACCCAAGAGTCAGGGACACTAGGTGATTCCTCTAAGGGCAGAAACATTGGAGTGTATACATGATGCCAGCCACTTGCCAGGAGGGTCCAGTGATCCCATGAGGGCACTGGCTGCCCCATTTTTACAAATGGGGAGACAGAAGTGGTGAAGCTATGCCACTTGCTCACTGTGCCCAGAGCCCAGGAATGTGCTGTCACCACACGTCCATGGCTTAGGTTTTCTGTGCAGAGCAGAGCTTCTTCCACTGCTAGATGGGACTGAATATTCCACTGTAGTTATCCTCTTCTCACGGTACCACCCATGCCAATACCCACCTTCTGAAATGACCTTCAGGTTTCCAGACTCCTCCTTCATTTTTCACTTTCATGTAAGTGCCAAAGAGCATGCAGTACACTGTTGCAGCAACCCCAAAGTAATCAATCTATGAAGAAGATAAAGGTATTTATATATGACTTAAATAGTAATTGACACACGAGTATATTAAGCTGTCTATTTAACTTAGGTGGCAAACTAAATACTTACAGGATTTTACTTTTAAAACATTTTGGAAGCCATTTGTTCAACCACTCCACTGGTATGTCCTGCTGAACTTCTAGGCTCACCAGAGGCTCCCATGGATAGCAGACCACCCGTTAACTCCTGGGGCAGCCCCTTGGGAAGCTGTCCTCCTGAGCTACCATATCCTCAAGTCCTTCATTCTGCCACACGGGGGCAGACACAACACTCTTATCTCTCTTCTACATGGACAGCCTGGAAGTTGGAGTTCTCTGACTGTGCTGCATGGTCTCTCGCTGTGTAATGTGTTCATAACCAGAAAGAACACCCCAGCACCATAGGGCAGAAGCCATCCACCTCCTAGGGTCTCACTGGCAGTGGCAACAAGCTAGAAATAAGACCTTCCACCCCTGCCCCCATCATGATGGGCTGGAAAGACACAGTTCTCACCTGGGAACTGGGCAGTTGGTTTTGTTAACCCAGTTTCAAAACTTTCCATTTGTCCCAATTAGTATTTTTTCAAGGTCATCTAGTATTCTAGTTTGCTGAAAATTCTGCAACTTTCTTTAGGATAATAATCCATTTTAACACCTTTTGGATCTGGCTGTGAATGCAGTTGAAAATCTGCCTGTAGCACTGATCATAGTCAAATCTACCATCCTGCCTTGAGAGCCACACAAGTATATCCATCACACGCACAACTCTGCCTGGATTGGGTGTGCGGGGTCTCACTGTTAGCTCTGGCCATAAATGAATTCAAGGTGGTCTCATTTGATTCTCAATAAACCAAGCTAGCTCCTTGTTGCATGAATTCCTTTCTGATGGGTTCACAGATCAGGAAACACTGTTTCCTAAGATCAAACTCATAAAATATATCTGCTTTCCTTTTCTGATAACAGAATCTATAATTGATTAGTAAGAAAGTAGAGGCTGGGCACAGTGGCTCACGCCTGTAATCCCAGTGCTTTGGGAGGCTGAGGCAGGAGGATCGCTTGAGGCCAGAAGTTTGGAGCCAGTCTGGGCAACATAGTGAGATCCCATCTCTACAAAAAATTTTTATAATTAGCTGGGTGTGCGCCAGCATGTGCCTGTAGTCCCAGCTACTTGGGAAGCTGAGGTAGGAGGATCAGTTGAGCCTAGGAGTTTGAGGTTGCAGTAAGCTATGATCAGGCCACTGCGCTCTAGCCTGGGCAACACAGCAAGACTCTGTCTCAACAAAATAAAAACAACAACAAAAAATAAAGTAGCACACTCTTCAGGAATATAATTTTATACCTGCCCTTAGTCAGAGTGCATTTCTCTGTCAACTGTGGCACAAGAGACCAACTTGAATTAACTAGATGCCCAAATTCATTTTGAAAATCTGAAAAGTGCAATAAAGGAAAATATTTCCAAATCTCTCATTTTAGCTTTATACCTGGTAGTTCCATGGTTTGTTGCTGAGCATCTCAACACACTGAAAACCAGATGTTTCACACTTTGCTGTGAATATGGTTCCTTTTGGAAAAAGTTTCATATCTATACTCTGACCCAGGTCAATCAGTGCCAAGCCAGCAGATAAGTCATCATCGTCACCATTCTGCTCCAAAAATCTATATTAAACATAAACATTGTTGCATGAGCAAAAATGAATGTCTGCTATGGAAATGGCAAGAGAAGAACCCCTTTAAAAAAGCACAACACTTGCCTGTTGCCAAGTATGAAATTATCTGGCTTAACGTCTCCATGAATGATTTCACAGTCATGCATTTGCTCAACCATGTAAAGCATTCTCATAGCAAAAGAGATGACAAGACCTTGAGGCATCACTTTTTCAGGGGTATTTTTATAGAGGTTAATGGCATTCTAGAAACAATGGAAAGTGGAATCCTGAGTTAGCTGCACAGGGTTAATAAAATTTCAAGTCAAGAGCTTTGCCCCACCCACCACTCCAACAAAAGCTCTAGTCACAAAGGTATGTGCAAGGCACAGGCCAAAAATGCATTTCAAATTCATATTCCCATTATAAAAATGAACACTTACTAATAAAGTTCCATAGCTATAGAGCTCTCCTGCTAATATACTGCCATTCTGGAATAAGTGGGCAGAATAGAATTTGATAAACATGGGTTGCATAATTGGCTTTAGTCTCTCCATCAGCTGGCTCCCAATGTAGAATTCCCAGGGGTTGGCAGGCTTCTGGACCTGCAAATCAGGTAGATGACATTCACATCCAGGCTCACATTCTGAGAAATGATAGCAAGAAAGCAGCCTCGATCCCAGTAAAGATGTGGGGTTGAACGTGATGACACGCTGTGAACTACTGCTACAGCATGGGGTTTGTTCAAGATAATTTTAGTAGAAAGAAAATTCTAAATCCTTTACAGTTTTTTTTTTAAATTGCTGACTACAGACATACATGAAAACATCACTATCTTAAAAAAGAAAGAAGCTGGCAAACTCAAGTCCTAAAGTTCATATCCATACTGTACAAAAACTGTTCAGGTCATTTACCTTTAAAACAAATTTCTGTTTATTTTTAGTAGCATTCGCATCTCCATGGGTAGCTTCATAGACCTGGGCAAAGGCCCCTTCTCCAAGAAGGTGATGAACATAGACCAGCATAGAACCTTAGAAGACAGATATGTCAAAATGACAAAAAGTCTCAAATATCAAGAACTTTACAAAATGAAGAATCGTGAAATCTTCTTGGTGCTTGAATTGCTTTAATAAATAAAAACGGGTATAGCTCCCTAGGGAATGTTTATGGTCTTGGATGAAAGATACCTGCCACAGAAGGGCCCCTCTTCAGCTGACCTGGGACAGAGGAGAAAGGGCAGCCCTGCGGGGCTCTGGGCCTGTCACTTGGCTGTGTGTCCTGTGCAGTCACCATCTCTTCCCCAGTGTTCACCTATTTCAAGGTGGGTAATATCTGTGCTGCCTGCTCTGCAAGATTGCTGTGTTAGAAAGAACATGGAAAATCTTCTGTACAGTGCTAAACAAAGCCCTCTGGAAAATGTGTTTTAGAACAGAGTAAAAAGGGCAAAGTATAGCTGCACCAATCTTTGTAAAAGATGATTAAAACTTTTAATAAACCTTTTATTTTAGAACAATTTTCAGTTTACAGAGAAGTTGCAGAGAGAGTATTCTCTACCTCATTTCTATTAACTCTTACATAACCATAGTACATTTGTCACAAATAAAAAACTAACAGCAGTATGCTCCTGCTAACTAAACTCTATACTTTACTCAAATTTCACTAGTTTTTCCCTGTGTTCCAGGATATATTATATTTTGCTATCATGTCTCCTTAGCCTCTTCTGGGCTATGACAGTTTCTCAGATGTTTCTTGTTTTAGATGACCTTGACGGCTCCAAAGAATACTGATCAGGTACATTGTAGAATATTTCTCAGATTGGGTTTGTATGATATTTTTCTTGTTATTTTAGGGCTATTGGTTTTAGAGAGAAAGACCACAGAGGTGAAACTGTAGTAGAGTTTTAAATTAAATCTTTAACGAAGAATTCACATGTTCAAAATCAGATATAAAAAATAACAACAACAAAACTCTCAAAAAACAAAATCAGACATAAGAAAGTAGGCTTCTGGTTCAGCAGATAAGGAGCTTGGAAGCCATTACTCCATCCTTACAATAAGCAAAAAGCCAAACAGATAAAAATCAATAGCTCTTCTTAGATCTATTGGAGAACTTAGCTCACAGGGCAACCTGCTGTTCCCAAGTTGGGAGACAGAGAGGTGGATACAGAGAATCACAGCTTGCCAAAGTAGGAGCCCAAGAGCAGAAACCACAGATGGAGCCATGCGGAGGGGTTACAATGGAAAGAGCTACACTTCTCAGACCTTATTTAAGAAGTCTCTGGAAAAACCCAGACAACAGAAAACAAGAATAAGGACAAAAGGGAACTTTTATCCTCTGATACTTATAGTGACAGCAAACAGGTAACACAGTCTAACCCCTAGGTAGATAGGCATAAAACCTCACACTAAAGGCCTATTTATCTCAGTTCCTTTTACCTAGTACATCAGGTCTGGCTCTTAATAAAAAATTACAAGGCATATTAAAAGACAAAAAGCACAGCTTGCATCAGAAACAGAAACAGACAAAGATATGGCAGAGATTTTAGAATTATCAGACTAGAAAAAACTTTTGAATTCTAATGAATATACTAAGGAAAAAGTGCAAAAAGAAATTGGTGATATAAGCAGAGAGATGGAAACTGAGAAAGAAGCAAAAGGAAACACTCAATAATAATAATAAAATACTGCAAGGAAAATGAAGAATGCTTTTGATGGAGTCATCAGCTGACTGTACATGGCGGGGAAAAGAATCAACGAGGAAGCGTGAAGATATGACAATAGAAACTTCCAAAACTGAAATGCAAAAAACAAAACAAAGAAAAAAGAAATAGAACAGAATATTCAAGAATATGGCATTCCCATATGCAGAATGGAAACATCAGAAGGAAGAAGAGAGAAAGTAAAAATATTTGGAGTAATAATGGCTGAGAATTCTCCAAAATTAATGATAGACACCAAATCACAATTCCAGGAAGTTCAGAGAGCACCAAGAAGGAAAAATACTGAAATATTAACACCTAGGCATAACATATTCAAACTTTAGAAAATCAAAGACAAAGGTAAAATATTGAAAGAAGTCAGAGAAAAATACCTTACCTATATAAAGAAAGAAAGGTAAAAATTACATAGGAAACCATACAAGCAAGAACAGAGTGGAGTAAAAGATTTAAAGTACTAAAATAAAAAAAACCACCAATCTATAATTATGTATCCAGTAAAGTTATCCTTCAAAAGTGAAAAATAAAGACTTTATTACACAAGCAAAAATTAAGGAGTCTGTTTCTAATAGACCTGCCTTGTAATGAATGTTAAAAGAAGTTCTTCAGAGAGAAGAAATATAGGTCAGAAACTTGGGTTTGGAAAATGCTAAAAGGAATAAATGAAGTTAAAATATTTTGTTTTTATTATTTTTAATTGATCTAACAAATAACAACTTGTTCAAAATAATAGCAACAATGTGTTCTGTGAGTATACTTATGGATAACTGAAATGAATGACATTAGTAATATTATGAGGAATACTCCATTATAAGGTACTTGGCAGTACACATAAAGCAGTATAACATTATTTGAAGACAGACTTGGATTAGTTGTGAATGTATGTAGTAAACTTTAGAGCAAACACTAAAAAAAAGTAAAAAAGAGGTATAATTGATATGCTCAAAAAGGAGAGAAAAATGGAATCACATAAAGTAACTCAACATCAGAGAAGGTAAAAAAAAGAAGACCAAAATAAGAAAGAAAGAACAAACAAGGGTAATTAATAGAGAACTGTAAAATGTATGGTAGACATTAACCCAATTATATCAGTAATCACTTTAAACATCAATGGTCTAAATATACTAATGAAAACAGGGACACACTTTAAATATAAAGACAGAGAGAGTAAAAGTAAAGGAACAGAAAAAGATATACCAAAGATATACTAACACTAATCAAAAGAAAGTGGAATAGCTATATTTCATTTCAGATGGAGTAGACTTCAAAGCAAAACAATTATCAGAGATAGAAAGGGGCATTACATAATGCAAAAGGGGTTAATTCTTCAAAAAGGCACAGTGTATTGAAAGTGAGGCAAAAATGATAGAATTATAAGGAAAAACAGACGAATTCACTATTATAGTTGAAGACCTCAACACCCTTCCATCAGAAATGGACAGATCAAGCAGGCAGAAAATCATTAAGGACATGAATGAACTGAACAGCACTGCTGAACAACTGGATCTAATTGACACTAATGGAGTATATCATCCAATAACAGTAGAACATTTATTATTCTCAGGATCACATGGAACTTTCACCAATGTAGACCACATTCTGGGCCATAAAACACATCTTACCAAATTTAAAAGAACAGAAATCATATACAGTATGAACATATGAACAATAGTTGGAAAGTCCCCCAAACTCCTGGAGATTAAACACACTTCTGAATAACAAATGGGTCAAAGAAGTCTCAAGAGAAATTTAAAAATATATTGAACCAAATGAAAATGAAAATACAATTTGCCAACATTTATAGGATATAGCAGAGGAAAATTTATAGCTCTAAAGAAAGATATTAGAAAAGAAGATCTGAAATCAATAATGTAAACTTCCACTTTAAGAAACTAAAAAAAGAGCAAATTAAATCTAAAGTAAGTGGAAGAAAAGAAATACTAAATATTAAAGTATAACACAATAGGGAAAAATCAACAAAACCCAAAGCTGGGTCTTTGAAAAGATCAATAAAATTAATACACCTCTAGTCAAGTTAACTAAGAAAGAAAGTGGGAAGACACAAGTAACTAATATCAGAATGAAAGAGGAGTTATCCCTGTTGAGCTAGTGGACATTAAAAGGTTGATAAGGAATAAAATGAATGCCATGCTCATTCATTATGAGAACCTAGATGAAATGGACCAGTTCTTTAAAAGACACAATCTACCAAAGCTCACAAAGAAGAAACAGATAATCTGAATAGTCCTATATCTATCAAAGAAATAGAATCAATAGTCTTCCAAAACAGAAAGCACTAGGCTTAAATGGGTTCACTAGCAGATTCTATCAAACATTTAAGAAAGAAATTATACCAATGCTCTACAATCTCTTCCCAGAAGACAGAAGCAGAAGTACTACCTCCTAACTCAAAACCAGATAAAGATATGAGTATTACAAGAAAGGAATACTTTCAGACCAATACCTTTTCATGAACATAGATACAAAAATCCTCAACAAAATACTAGCAAATCTAATCCAACAACATATAGAAAGAATTATATACCGCAACTAAGTGCGATTTATCCCAGGTATGCAAGGCTAGTTCAACATCTGAAAACCAATTGATACAATTCATCATCTCAAGAAAGAAGAAGTATATATCATATAAAATAGATGCAGAAAAAGCATTTGATAAAACGGAATACCCATTTAGATTAAAAATAAATAAATAAATAACCAAAGCTTAGCAAACTAGGAATAGAGAGAATAGAATAATTCCTCAATATGAAAAGGAACATGTACAAAAAAGCTTCAGCTAACATCATACTTAACAGTGGTAAACTATATAGAAGCTTTCCCTCTAAATCAGGAAAAAGGCAAAGATGTTGCCTCTCACTACTATTCAACACTGTACTAAAAGTCCTGGATTATGCAATAAAGATAAGAAAAGAAAAAAAAGATATATAGACTGGGAATGGAAGAAACAAAATTGTCTTTGTTTTAAATGACAGGATTGTCTATGTTGAAACTCCCTAAGAGTCAACAGAAAAATCTGGAACTAATAAGCAAGGTTACAGGTTACAAACATATAAAAGTCATTACTTTCCTATATACTAGAAATGAACACCTGTAAATTGAAATTTAAAACACAATACTACTTATACAACTACCAAAAAGAATGAAATAGCTATAAATTAATGCAATTCCATCCAAAATCTCAGCAAGTTATTTTGTGGCTATCAACAAACTGATTCTAACGTTTTGTGGAAAGGCTAAATAAAGACCCAGGACAATCAATTCAATATTCAAAGAAAACAAAATCAGAGGATGATATTACCCAACTTCAAGATTTACTATAAAGCTACAATTAATAAAGACAGTGTGGTATTGGCAAAAGAATATCAGTGGAACATAATAGTCCAAAAAGAGGTCCACATAAAGACAGACAGTCCCTGAGTTACAATGGTTCAACTCAATGATTTTTTTTTTTTTAATTTTACAATGGTGCAAAAGCAATAAGCATTAAATACAGACCATACTTTGGGTACCCCTACACTCTGTTTTTTACTTTCAGTATAGTACCCATTAAATTACATAAAGTATTCAGCACCTTATTATAAAATAGGATTTGTGTTAGATCGTTTTGCCCAACAGTAGTTTAATGTAAGTATTCTGAGTATGTTTAAGGTAGGCATGGCTAAGCTAGAATGTTCAGTAGGTTAGGTGTATTAAATACATTTTCAGCTTATGATGTTTTTAACTCACAATGGGTTTATTGAGACATAACCCAACTGTAAGTTGAGAAGCATCTATGTAGTGAACTGGTCTTTGACAAAAGGCCAAATACAATTCAAGGAAGAATAGTATTTTCAACAAATGGTGTTGGAACTGGACATCTACATGCAAAAAAAAAAAAAAAAAAAAGTGAATCTAGGCACAGATCTTACAAAATAGATCATAGTCTTAAATGTAAAAGGCAAAACTATAAACTATAAATGTAAAAGGCAAAACTATCTAGGAAGAAGATAACATGGGAGAAAACCTAGATGATTGTCAGTTTGGTGATGATTTTGAAATTTAACACCAAAGACATGATCCATGACAAAAAGAATTAGAATTTAAAAATTTTTGCTCTGCAAGGCAAAAGCTAGAAAAATAAAAAGTACTCAAACCAGGCAAAGTGGGGACCAAAGAGAGGCCCAAACTTTACCTGTACAATGACCATTTGTATACCTAATCCTGAATTGTACCCCACATCTTTAAAATAAAAAAATTAAAAAGAAAAGAGAGATAAGCTAGAGGTTAGGAGACAATCTTTGCAAACACATATCTAATAAAGACTATTATCCAAAAAATATAAAGAACTCTTCAAACTCAATGATAATAAACAACCAATTAAAAAACAGGCAAAACATCTGAACAGACAGCTAACTGAAGATAAACAGATGACAAATTAGCATATGTAAAAATGTTCATCACCGTATGTCACCAGGGAATTGCAACTTAAAACACTGTCACGATACCACTACACATTTATTAAAATGGCTAAAACCCCAAACACCGATAAAACAAATACTGGCAAGATTGAAGAACAGGAGCTCTCATTCACTGTTGTTGGAAATGCATGATAGGACAGTCACTTTGGAAGACTGTGTAGAAGTTTCTTACAAAGATAAACACACTCTCATCATATGATCCAGCACTTATACTCCTTGGTATTTACCCAACTTGTGTGTTGAAAACTTATGTCCACATAAAAACCTGTCAAAATTTGTGAGGTAACCAAGATATTCCTCATTAGCTGAATGGATAAACAAACTGTGTGGTACATTTACACAATAATTGTTCAGTGACTAGAAAAAAGAGCAATTAAATCACAAAAAGACACAGAGGAACATTAAATCCATATTGCTAAACAAAATAACGGAAAAGGCTACATACCATATGACTTCAATTATATGATATTACAGAACAGGCAAAACTACAGACAGTAAAAGGATTGGTGGTTGCCAGGAGCTGGGGTACAAGGAAGAAGGGCTAACTGGTCAGGTACAGGGGGGAATTTTTAGGGCCGTGAAACTATTCTGTATGATACTGTAATGATGAATATGTCATCATACATTTGTCAAACCACACAGAATGTATAACACAAAGAATGAACTCTAATGTAAACTATGCACTTTAGTTAATAATAATGTATCGATATTGTCTCATTGATTGTAACTCATGTATCACACTCATGCAAGATGTTAGTAAAAGCAAAATCTGTGTGTATATGTTGGGCAGTAGTTACACAGAAACTCTGTACTTTATTCTGAATTTTTCTGTAAGCTTAAAGCTGCTCTAAAAAATAAAGTCCATTAATTTCAAAATTAAGAAGCACATTGTGAAGTCTTGCTCCCATTGTTATCTACATCCACCCAGTTTTCCACTCTAACAGTTAACCATTTTAACTGTGCCATATACTACATACTGTTCTGCCATTTTCATTCAACAGTCCAGGACGTTTGGGAGATCATTCCCTATCAGTAGAGCGAGCTTCCTCGTGCTGTTACCAATTTTACTCTAGCATTTTTCTTTAGAAGTGTACCATAATACCTGTAGGAAATTTTAAAAAGTAGATGGCTGGGTCTAAGAGTGTGTATATTTTTAATTTTGATAGATATCACCAATGGCCCTCTATAAATTGTATGAGTTATAGTCTCAGCAGTAATCACAATCCTATTGTCATGGCTTCACAAAATGTTCTCAGCTTAATACTATATATATATATAACTTTTTACTGGAGTGGTGGTATGGGCCAGCAGGACAATCAATCTCTCTCTCTCACATGTGTACTCGTGCACACATACACATGAGTCACCAACAACTTCCCATAGGAAAATAAGAATTTAAAGTTATATTATGCAAATAATTCTTACCCAATTGAAATTCAGTCTTGGGTTTGATGGCTGGAAGTTTACACTGCCATTCAAAAGTATTTGGATAGGAACTCAGTGGCTTAGAAAGCCCAGATAAAAGTTTGAGAATCAACTGATCATCCCATGGGTTCTCAACAGTGAAATCTTAAAAGAAAATGAGAACAAAAAAAGGAATATGAATTCAATACTCAAGAATCTTACCAAAGAAATTGTAGACAAAGTGAGCAGAAACATTTATTAAATAAGCTTTCAAAAGGTTTTTCCATTAAAAAGTATTATTTCAAATAATAAGTAACTATTTTAAAAAGTCTAAGCCCAGCACTTTGGGAGGCTGAGGCAGAAGGATTGCTTGAGCCCTGGAGTTTGAGGCCAGCCTGGGCAACACAGAGAGACTTCGTCTCTATTTATATATATATAAAAAAAACAACAACCAAAAGTTTGATTTGTAGTTCTGCACAGTTGATTATTTACCATTTTAGATCTACAAATTTGGATTAATATTCAGTGTGACAAAGGGAATCAACAGCAAGTGCATTTGCTCCACTCACCTGGAACTGCTAGTTTCTGTCTTTAACATGATTGTGGGTATACGTCTTAAGAGCAGACTTGGACATGAGTTACTTCTAATGTGCTCAGATAGACATATATTCTTTCTTTTTTTGAGTTGGAGTCTCACTCCTTAGCTCAGGTGGAGTGCAGTGGCACGCCCGCTCAGAGCCACCCCAGCGTCGACCTGTTGGGCTCCTGTGATTCTTTGGTCTCAGCCTTCCAGGTAGCCGGAACTACAGGTGCACGCTACCACACCCAGTTTTTTAAAAAATTTTATTGTAGAGACAAGGTCTCGCCAAGTTGTCCGGACTCGAACCCATGGGCTCAGGCAATCCACTGGCCTCAGCTTCTCAAAGTGCTGGGATTACAGGCTGAGCCACAAGAGCCTGGCCAACACATATTCTTTAATTGCTGTTCCACTTATAAGGTACTAGTACTGCCTACCTGCAAATTGCATGTATTTGAAATGTACTTTGGGTCCACAAAAGGGAAGTAATTTCTAAAGGAAAGAAAAAGGTTTCTCTCCAAGTTAGAATGCTATGAAAAATTCTACTAGTGGCAGTTATCAAAGATTAATCCAACATGGTTAACACTTACTTAGTGCTAAGCATGTGCAGGATACTGTTCTGGGTACATTCCATTTATTAATCTACTTGGTTTTTATAATAAGTCCCTAAGGTCAGTACTAGCAACAGTTCCACCCTAGAGAAAAGAGCAGAGGGGCACAGAAAATTGAAATAATCTTGTCCAAGATCACATGACTACTTAGGTGGGGAAGCTAGGATTAGAACTATCTTCAGAGTCTGTGCTCTTAACCATGCAAGACTGTTTCTGTACTAACATGGCAGGGGGGAAGGCAGGGGTCTGTCTCTTTAACTTTAAGCCCCAGTTTACTGTGGGGGATAGAACAGTATTAGATTAAATGCCTGGGACATAGTACACTCTCAAATTCAAATTCCCTTTTCCAATAGTAGTATTTTGATATCTTTTAAAACTAAGCAGATCAAGTTACCCAAGTATGCTATCGTTGTACTACACTGTGATACAATTATGCAAGTTCTGTCTGAATTTAATGAAATTTGTTCTGTTCAATGACATTCAAGTCCCCACTCTTTGAGCTGCTTTCACTATTGTCCTTATTCAAGGGCACGACTAAGATGGAGCTTTTGTCCATACTTGGAGCATTGACATTCCCAAGTGAGCCAGTCTGCATCTGTTCTGCTTGGAGCCCAGCGGCAGCCTCTGGTGGATCTTCTGCAATGGCAATGTCAGTGTCGGTGAGTTTACAAGCTTGAAGGCGCTGCTCTGCCTCATGGGTAAGTACAACACCTACAGACGGCTGGCTCAGACGGAGGAGGGATGTGGAATGGACATCAGAGGGAAATGCTTGTTCTGGGCTTTTCTCTGGAATTGGACTGTATGTGTGAAAGGGATAAAGAGGAAACAAAAAAATCACACGATTAGAAGATTGTTGGATTTGGTTACATAAAAGTCCCATAAAACAGTTTTCTTTACATTCTAGAAATGGCATGTCACAATAGCCTCACAGACAAAAGTTGATTAAAGCATTTTCTTTAGATAGATATTTTCTACATGTATGTATATATTATATGTATGTATTTATTTTCTAGTTTCTATATGTATGTATATATTTTCTATGTATATTTCCATTCTACTCATAGTACAATATTAATAGAAATTTAAAAATCAAATATATGGCAACATATTAGATAAGTAGGTGATGTGATATCCTTCAGTAGAAAATGTCAGGAGGAATGAGTTTATTTCTCCAAGCTGCATCTAAGTAACTCTACTATAATTAAGACTGAATATTTAATTTTAATCCAAAACTGGTTTCTTTTATAACATTGAGACAAGCAGAAAATGTCAACCATAACACAACAATGTAACACCCCAGTACATCTGCATATATACAGTCATGCACTGCATAACCACAATTCAGTTAATGATGAATAGGCTTTATAATAGTGGTCCCATAGGATTATTATAAAAACTAACTCCTGTCTCCTAGTGACATCTTGATGATCCTAACCCTGTGTGGGCCTAGGCTTATGTGTGTGTTTGTGTCTTAGTTTTTAACAAAAAGTTTAAAAAGTTAAAAAAAAAAGTTTTTTTTGACGATAGCAAAAAGCTTACAAGAACAGTATAAATATATTTTTTACAGTTGTACAATGCTATTTAAGCTAAATGTTACTACAAGAGTCAAAAAGGTTAAAAGTTTTAAGTGAAAGTTACAGTAAGTTATGGTTATTTATTATTGAAGAAAAATGTTTTTTATAAATTTAGTGCAGCATAAGTGTACAGTGTTTATAAAGTATATAGTAGTGGGCAGTAACATCCTAGCATTCACATTCACTCACCAACGCGAGTATCTTCTGGTCCTGCAAGCTCCATTCATGGGAAGTGCTCTCCACAAGTGTACCATTTTTAAAATCTATTATGCCATATTTTCCCTATATCCTTTCTATGTTCAGATATACTCACAGATATATAAACCATTGTGCTATAATTAACTAAAGTATTCAGTAGAGTAACATGCTATGCAGGTTCGCAGCCCAGGAGCAACAGGCTATATTATAATACAGTCCAGATGTGTAGTAGGCTATACCATCTAAGTTTGGGTAAGAACACTCTATGATGTCTGCATGATGATGAAATTGCCTAATGACACATTTCTTAGGATGTATTCCGGTTATTAAGCAACACATTACTTTATGTGGAAGTGTATGTATATATGGATACACCTGATCCTCATTATTCATGGATTCCGTATTTGTGAATTTACCTATATGCTAAAATTCATTTGTAAGCTTCAAATCAGTATTCACATCCATGGTGATTCTGTAGCCATTTGCAGATACCCGGAGTGATGAAAAATTTGAGTCACCCAACCAACACACATTACCAGCTCAGGTTGCAAAAGGTGATTCTCAGCCTCCTTGTTCCAGCTATCATACTGTAAACAAGTGCTTTTCATGGTACAATTAGTACCATTTTTCTTACATTTTTGTACTTTTTAAGGGTGGCTTTGCCGTTTAAAATGGTCCCAAAGTATAGTGCTGAAATGCTATCTGATATTCCTTAAGTACAAGAAATCTGTGATGTGCCTTAGAAAATACATGTATTAGGTAAGTTTCATTCAGGTGAGTTATAGTGTTGTCCGACATGAGTTCACTGTTAAAGAAACCAACAATATGTACTAAGTAAGATGTTTTTAAATAATATGTTGTGATCAGAAGCTCACAGGAATCTAAGTCAATATTCCCTCTAGGAACAGTAGTTCAATATTCACTAAGTCAGTGTTTACAGTGACTTTATAGGCTTTATGGAACTGCAGTGAAAAATGAGAATCAACTGTGTGTATATGTATATATAGCTTCATACACACAACCCACATCTATACCCACCCATACATAAACATTTAAATATATTTTTACACAAATAAATTTATACATGTAATTTCATACATTGCTATTTTCACCTATCACATTTCTCCTACTATAAAATTTTTCAAATAAACTTTTTTTGGTAATAATTTGAGACCTCATCTTTACAATAAATCAAAAATTAGCCAGGTATGGTAGCACGCGCCCTGTAGTTCCAGCTACTTGGAAGGCTGAGGCAGAAGGATCGCTGGAGCCCAGCAGGTTGAGGCTGCAGTAGCCGGGAGCAGCCTCTGCACTCCAGTCTGGGTGACAGAGTGAGACTCCAACTCAAAAAAAAAAAAAAAAAAAAAAAAAAAAAAAGTGTTGCATAGATAATAGGGAATTCCTGTATAGTCCCCACCTAATTTCTGCTAATGTTTTCATCTCCTATTACAAAGGTGCCTTTGCGAAAACTAACAAACCAACATTTGTTATATTGGTATTAACTAAATTCCAGACTGCATTTGGATTTCACCACTCTTTCCACTCAATATCCTTTGTCTCCTCCAGGATCCAGTTCTGGATACCAGGTTCATTCAGCTGTCATGTCTCCTCACTCCTTTCCCATCTGCAACAATTTCTTAGTCTTTTCTAGTTTCCCAAGGCCCTAACAGTTTCGAGAAGTACTGGCCAGCTATTCTGTAGAATGTTCTTCAGTTTGGATTTTCCAACATTTTTCTCATCAAGTGTCAGCCTGATACATCAAGTGCTGAGGTTCACTACTGTATTTATTTTTATAGAGAATACCTTCTGACATAAAGCTGCTAGTCCACAAAAACTTTATCAGCAATAAAGTACAATTAGGTATTCTACTACAGTTTAAAAATCAAAGCTAGAATGGAAATGGAAAGCAAAGTAGGGGAAACAGAGAGAATGACAGGATCACATAAACCTTCATAATACCTGAATTTTCTGTTCTTTGATGGCATCACCATGTTTTCTTCACAAGAATTCAAAGTCACATGGGTGCACTGTTTTGCTACCACATTTTCTGAAAGATACAGAAAATTAGAGATAGACATGTTAGATGTACATGTGTATATGACACACATCATTTTTTTATGGTTACAAAGTCTAGGATTTCTTTTGACAATGACTTTCCTGATCATTTCAAAGTAGTGTTCCACGGTAAAATGTGCACTAAGATATTTAAAATAGGGGTGGGGAAAATTATGCTATAAAAATCTGTCAGGCTTGGTGGCTCAGCCTGTAACCCCAGCACTTTGGGAGGCTGAGGCGAGAGGATTGCCTGAGCCTGCAGATTCAAGACCAGCCTTGGCAACTTGGCAAAACCTCATCTCTACAATAAATCAAACATTAGTTGGGTGTGGTAGCATGTGCCTATAGTTCCAGCTACTTGGAAGCCTGAGGTGGAAGGATCACTGGAGCCCAGCAGGTAGATGCTGGGGGTGGCCATGAGCTGCACCACAGCCTAGGCGATGGAGTGAGACTCCAACTGAAAAAAACAAAAACCAAAAAACTACTACTAGCTGAGCATGGTGGCTCACGCCTGTAGTCCTAGTTACTCTGGAGGCTAAGGAGGGAGGATTGCTTGAGTCCAGGTGTCTGAGACTAGCCTGGGCAACATATTGAGACCCTGATTCTTAAACAAAATTACTACTCATATATGTGAGCATTAGATGTAGCCAAGTATTATATTCAGAAAGTCTTATTTTTCTTATTTTTTTTAGTGATCTGACTTCATGACAATCCTTCAAGAAACAAAGGGGACCAGAGAGTGGCAATTCCATTGTGGCAAGATGACCAGACCATGGGAGTTCACTGGTATGAGTGGCCGGGCATACCTGGCTTCAAGAAAACCTGAAGATGAGGATATGAAGAGTAAAAGACTGTAATGCTTCTGGAGGGCAGAAGTTGTGTATCTTTCAGTTTAACATGTTTCAGTCAACCAGTTTAGCTGACTGAAACGGTTTCATGTTTAAATCAGAAAGCTGGCAATATTTATCTCTCTGTAATGGAAAAAAAAAATCTATCTGCAGATAGATGAACTAGATAGGGCAGAATAAACTTCTACGAAGTGATGCTAACATTGCACACACCCAAGCATTAACTGGGTTAAATTGTATCACATATTCCCTCACTGAACAGGTGCCAGTAGTTTTTAGCATTAGTGCAGGCTTACAAAACCAAAATGGTAAATACTTTAAGAGTAACCAATACTGACTTTGTGAAAGACTCTTTGGACTGATTAAATTAGCTTTTCGGATTGGAAAAGGCTTTAAACATTTTACTAAAGTGGCAAACTCATGATGGTGTCTGGCATTTGTCCAAGTTTCAACTGAACTCTCCTTTAAGATTCAGAAAAGAAATATATCATACTGAATTTGCACTCAGAAATCCCTAGTCAAAAATGTTTAGGTCTACAGGCTCAGAATCTGCATTAAAGTATGTTTCCATCTAGTAAAGTGAAATTATTTGACAGTTCTTCCATTATTGCTTTGGTAAACAATTGCTTTTTTTAAAAGGTGACAGCCAGGTGCAATGGCTCACACCTATAATCACAGCACTTTGGGAGGCCAAGGTGGGAAGATTGCTTGAGCCCAGGAATTCAAGACCAGCCTATACAACATAGTGAGACCTCATTTCTATAAAAAATAAAATCAGTTGGGCATGGTTGTGCACACCTGTAGTCCCAGCAACTCAGGAGTCTGAGGCAAAAGGATCAAGAGCCCAGGAGGTTGAGGCTGCAGTTAGTCATGATCGTGCCACTGCAATCCAGCCTGGGCAACAGCGTGAGAGACCTTGCTGGGAGGAAAAAAAAAAGCCAGCTGTGATAACAGTTAGCATACAGTCAGTGCTCTGCTTCCACAGGATCTGTAGTCATATGTTCTATAGGGCTGACTATGGGACTTGAGCATCCAAGTGGATTTTTCCAGGGGTTCCTGTAACCAGTTCCCTGCAGATACCAAGAGATGGTTATTTATTTTGTAGGTTGGTACTTAATAGCTAATAATTATCTATGCTCAATGGCAATGTCATGCATTAGGGTTCAATTCAGATATTACAGATCTTTGATATGTATATGGGGTATTAGATTTGAAATGGGGTGAAAGTAAGTACTTATGAGTTTTATCTTTATTCTCTTGAAGTGAGATCATTAAAAAAAATATGAAAAGACTTTCTGAGTGTAGTACTCGGCTACAAGTCTAATAACAATAAAATTTGTAGACAAACATCAAGGACTAAAATTGGCTATCTGTTACCAGGTGTGGTGGTTCATGCCTGTAATCCCAGCACTTTGGGAGGCCAAAGCTGGAGGATTTTGCTTGAGCCAAAGAGTTCAAGACCAGCCTAGGTAACACAGCGAGACCCCATCTCTACAAAAAAATAAAACCATTAGCCAGAAATGGTGGCACACATCTGTAGTCCCAGTTACTTGGAAGGCTGAGGCAGAAGGACTGCCTGAGCCTGGGAACTGGAGTCTGCAGTGAGCCATGATGGTGCCACTGCACCCCAGCCTAGGCAATAGGGTGAGACCACGACTCAAAAAAATATAAATAAATGAATAAAATTGGCTATTTCTTGCTCTTACTACATTGTAAAATATAACATTCATTGATTTTAGCATTCAAATAATGTATCTGAAGTGGTCCTTTTGTTTGCAATGAAATAAAATAAACACACCCTATACAAATGGGTTGGATTTTATTGGCCTTTAAATGCTTCTAGAGGTTTTTTCCTTGTGATCTAAGCTATTACATTTTTAAAATACACAGACTTTATAAAAACAGTATGTCAGGAAAAAACTTTATAAGTAAAAATACAATGAATAGATTTTAAGCTTCTTTATAATTTTCGAACTTCCCATTTAGAATTTTCATGAAGAAAACTAAAAAAACGGAAAGAACTGAAGTTGTCTGAAGATAGATAGTGGGGAAAAAAAAGGTGGTGAAATAGTGTAACATGCACCTTTATCTTCTAGAATGTGCACTGACTCTGCTGGAAGTTTGTGGAATGGTGTAGATGCAAGCTGTGCAGCAGATGTAAAGTCTCCTGGGCTTTTAGGACTGGGTGCCAAGGTTTTGTTGCAACGAATACCCCATATGGTTGAATCATCCAAAAACTCTTCAGAATGAGGCACTTCCTACAAAAGAGGATTAAATGAGAGAAGAAAAAAAAAAGCAGCAATCTCCCTGTCTTATGCACGAAATCTTACACATTAAACTTTCAGAATTAAAAAAAAAAAAGAGGAATCAAAGAAAAAAACACAAGTCACCCCCTGGCCAAGAACATTATGGTTCTGCTCTTTTTCCCAGAACTGGAATACTTCATCTTTAACACATTCCAGTGGAGTCATATTGTGACATGGGCCACATTTTTGTTTTCAGTTTTAATATATTTTTTTAATTTGAAGAAAGTCATGATTCACAGAAGAGTTACAAAGGTAGTACAGATTTCCAATATACCCTTCACCAAGCTTCCTCTAATGTTAGCCTCTTACAGAACCCTGGGACATTTGTAAAAATGAAAAAATACTATTATCTCTAGACTATCTGGATTTCATCCTTTTTTTCCCCAACTAATATCCCTCTTCTGTTCAAGGATCCAGTCAGTAGCTCATGCTACATTTAGTTGTCAGGTCCACTTAGTCTCCTTGAGTCTGTCATTGTGTACTGGTCTTTCTCACACTAACATTTTTGAATACTGGTCAAAAACTGTAGAATGCTCTTCTAATTAGGAGCTTTTTTGATGTTTTCTCATTAGACTAGGGCTATAGATTCTTGTGAAGGAGATCAAGGATGAAGTGTCCTTCTCATTACATCATATTAGGGGATACCTGCTAGTAACACGACTTAGTACCAGTGAGGTTAACCTTATCCCTCAGTTAGATGGAACCAGCCAGGTTTCCCCACTATGAAACATTTTCCCCTTTCCTTACTCTTCTTGTTAGAAGCAAGTCATTCTTGTTAGAAGCAAGTCACCAAATCTAGCCACATTCAAAGGGAGATGAATTCAACTCTACCTTCTGGAGGAAAAGTACATCAAAGAATTTGTGGATAAATATTAAACTACCACAGTAATTAATATATAATTCTGATGGAGGCTATGCATAAACCCTATTTCTTCTTAAATAATTATCGAATATTGTCCTAAAAGAAGCTCATTTGTATTTTTAACACAGTTTCATCTACAACATATCATTTGACTGGCACAATCATTTGGTAAAATAAAGAGGAAAGGGTGACAGGACTTATTTCATAGATGAAATAGCTTTGCTTACATTTGCCTTTGAAGGAAATCTGCTGATAGAGCGTTCTCCAAAGGTCCTTGCTCCTGTGGGTTTGTTTTTGGGCTGAGGTAACCTAAGAAAAGATTTGTAAAATTATATATAGCAAAATATGTTAAGGAAATAAATGCTACTACTTGAGTATTAGAAAAATTCTCCTCTTATTCTATTTAATAAGTTAATATTTACATAAAAATTCCTTACTTTTATAGCAGTTTTAGCAAAACTGAGTACAAATTGAATTAACGTGACACATATATGTGTATGTATGTATATAAATATATAAATATATAAATATATATATATGTAGATCTATTGTTATTTAAGTGAGGGTGGAAAATACAGAAATTTCTGCTACACTAAGTTACATCTTTTAGGAGACAAGAAAGAATTAGGGTCATGGTGAGTACAAAGCCATGGCTGCCAACAGTTTTTCTTTTCGGTGCCTGGTCTAGTTATGGAATTCCTCTCTGAGAGCTGGCCATGTCCTTTCTCTTTTGTACCTCAATAAGAAATTCTCTCATACCATGATACCTTTAATGCACATAACATCTCTTCCCATGGATTAAACTACCAACAGTGAACATTCCTGGAGCTACCCCTCTCTATCCCCAGATGACTCTCTAAACACATTTTCTCTGCAGCATCATCCAATATAAGCCACTTTCTTTTCTGCTTTATCAGTGCTGCAAATATAAACACAACATGTATGAACACCTGTACTGGTGAATTCATTCATATCTAATACAATTTCAAAACCATAGTTCTCTGCTAATTTATAACTACAGTTTTCCTTTTCTGTGCATGTTTTTGCTTTGGGAGGCCTGCTCTCTTGGGACTCTTGCAGTCCTGTAGAGCCAGAGAAGAATTTAGCACCACCCTTCTGGTCATGTGGTCAAAGTTCATCTGACCACGCCATGGGTAGGCCACATTCTCTCTCCACTGCCACATCACCTCTGTCCGGGAGGAACCTCCACAATATCCTGTTAACTAGGCGTCTGTTTACCCATAGTTTTCTTTGTTTCCATCTTCAAACACAGGAAAAGCAGACGACAAAGAAGAGATCATCTTATTGACTCCCCAGGCCCCAGAAGACCTTGTATTTTCTGCAACAGAGTACAAAATAGCATTTAATTATTGTACTAGGGAAAAAAAAACAAAAACAAAAAACAACCGTATCCTTCATGCCAAAGATACAAATAATAAAAAAGGAATAACAGCTTACAGAAAAGACCTGATATCAGCTTTTCAATGCTAGGTAAAAAGTCACTTTGTAGTGAGATGAAATGACTTAACTGTGGTCACAGGGTCTAGCACTCAAGTCCCAGGTCGTGGGTTCCTGCCACATTACCAGCACAGTATTAATCATTCTTCTAGAACAGTGCTATTGTCACTTGACCCACAATAAAAGCTCTCAGTGGTTTTGCTTTCCTTTTCTTCTAAGAAAGAATTAGCCTCTTAACTTTACATTTTGAGTTCTCCTAAGTCTAAGTGGCTTCTACTTTACCATGAGCTCTGGCTTCCCCCATGACTTCCCTTACTCTAGACAAATGTGGGCTAGCTGCCTGCCTCCAACACTACCCGAGCCATTCCTCCCCTGGGAAGGACTCAAATCACACCTGGAGTACTCAGCCTTCCTGGCCACTCCTACCCACGAGGTTTTTATCCTTTTTTAGCACTTACTGTAATTTTTTTTTTTTAAACACCAAGCAAATCTATCACACACACAGAGTACCTTGTCAAACACTGTCATATTCTTATTTTATGTATTCCCTGCCCTTATGTGACAAGCTAAACAGGCTCAGGGCCACATCCTGTATGATCCTGTGATAACAACCCACAATGCTATGCATTTAGTAGCTTTTAAATAAGTTATTACTTTGAAACTGGGCTTCAAATGCATCTTCATTTTGATCTAGAGATTGCCACTCATCTTTGTCATCAGGAAGATCAGGAAGTGTAGGAGCCTGAAACACATTCATGATGAAACCTTAAAGAACAAAAATAAAAACTGTAAACAGGTTGCGAAAGATCTTTCATTAATTTGTTGTCAGGTGCCACACACGCAGATAAAATGCTTTACCTAATGCTTCTTTTGTGTGCACGGTGGGTGATGGCTGCACTTTGGATGGTGTTGCCTGAGCCATGCCCAGTGATGTGTTTGGAGTTGTGTGAAAAGAACTTGTGTTAGCCACCTTATGCGCTTCACAACCTAGAAAAGAAATGGGGATAGAATGTAGCAGCAGTAGGCAAATCAGAATAATATAAATGTGCACGGTATAAGTAACTTAATAATGAAACCAGAGTTTGTCACTATCAATAATCATCACTATGGACTTTTATTATTACAGAGCTTTTGTTTATTTCCTATGAGGTAGATAAGGTGAGAATTATCCTTCTACAGAAAAGAAAATGAAGGCTCGATGAGATTAGGCATTTGTTCTGAGATTATACCACACTAGCAGCTTTGTCATAAATATCCACTGTATCCCAAGCATTACATGTTCACAGTCAATGTAAATCTTAAGACTGGCTTTCCATCTCACTCAGCTGGAGTCCGACTTGGTATATAAGGCCCTGTACATCCTGGGTCCTGTTTGCTCAGGCCTCCTCTTCCTCCTCCCCTCCCAGCCTCCCCAATCTGGTCTCTCTGCTGTGCTTAGAGCGTATTAGGGACATTCCTGCCCGAGGGCTCAGCACTTGGTATTCCCTCTGCCTGAAACAGACTTCCCAACTAGCTGTATGGTAGCTCCCTCCTTCAGGCCCTTATTCAAATATTATCTTCCCTGAAATTTCAATCCCCTCAACTCCAAGAGCAATACTTCTTTTCCCCTCCACACAGGTAGAGATTTTCTGTTCATGGCTGCAACCTTGACAACCTAGAGCAGTGCCTTTTGCCTAGAAAGAATGCTCAGTAAGTCTTGGTTCACTGAATGAGTCTCCAGTTGTTTCAGACAGCCCTGCTCCCCACTAAAGGATCAGAGGAAAGGATGTCACAGTCATACAGGGGGAAGAAGTAAAAGCTCAACCTGTGTGTCTTATTTTATTTATAAAACTTACCTCCCATGAAAATGCCTCTAACAAAGTAGTACCGAATAACAGTGTAACACTCCTAATTAAAATTTAGATCAACTTTCCTACCTATGTTAGTAGCAAGGTTAATTAATTTGCAAAAAAAATCATAGGAAAATTTTCACAAATTAAGTTTTCTAAGAATTCTAAACTAATAACATGTGGCCAACAAGTGGATTTCTATATTTACATGAAATGGTTCAAATTGCCCTTTCACTCTAAGAATAGAAAAATTAACATTCAGATTTATTGATGTTTTAAGCCCTCATAAACCAAAGCCACAAAACACATTCCTGAGCAACCTGGGGAAATCTGGCAAAAGGATCAGAAACAAATTTATTATAATTAAATACTACCTTCTTTTATCTCTGCTCCACTCTGTGGCTTGCATTCATGAGTACTCTCATTCACACATCTGGAAGAAAAAACTCTTGAGACACACTAAAGAATAAAAACACTTAACGTATTCAAAGTTTTAACTAACACTTGAGAAATAATAGTTAAAAAAAAAGAATCATCAACAATTACAAGCCTATTGTTAAATTACAGATGGAACTACTCAGTGTAAGTAAATGAAATATTTTATTTTTTCTTTCATTTCTTTTCAGGAAAAAAATTCTTACACATAAAAGCCAGGTACTAAATGTTTGTGTGACATAGTGAGTATAGGGGATAAGCACCATCTCTATATGTGGTAGGGCAGGATAACAGCATCCCTAATTCATCACTAATCCAATTATTATACCAATTTATCCAGAGGTTAAAGGGTTAAACCCAGCTTCAGGCACTGGGTGCCCAATGCAGCTACTTAGAGGCAGGATATGGGGAAGCACTGATATGCTTCAGTTGTGTGGGACACCTTTCTTATGATGAGCCAGCAGCCATCATGTAATGCCCTCCTAACTTTAAAAGTAACAGTTGTTACGAAAGAAAAAAATGGTATGCAAATTATTTATATCACAGTTTGTTTTAAATACACCTGGGGTAGTGGACCTCCTATGTCTATAATGTTGCTAGAGTTCCCATAATGAACCCTGTAAAGATGTAATGTGAAAAGTGTAAAGCACTTTTAATTTTACAAATCCTTACCAAAAAACGAGTTAAAAGAGAGCCAAAGTGACTGAAGGTAAAAATTTAAGTAAAACAAATGATGTGACATTCATTATAATTTCTGAAATCTGGAAAAACTCCTCAAATTGGAGAAAAAACCTCTAGTGTAGTACACAGGTAGATTTTGGCATATAGAGTCATAGGTACTAATCACAAACTGCTTCTCATGGGAAGATAGAAGGAATATGAGAACACATGTCAAGTAATTGCCTAGATAGTAATAATCCCAGCAGGCATACCGTCAAAACCAGTCAGCAAAAGCAATTTCAGCTTAACAGCTATATATATTCTTCAGTTACAGAGACTGTTGAGTTTCAGAAATTTAAAATTTAAAATTTTTAATTCAAGAGAAAAGCATAAAGTAAAATAGATATTCTAAAAGAAGCATGGGATAAGTCTGAGGTGCTGGGAGCAATGTTTTGGTGACTTGCTTTTCAACAACATGACTATTTACAATTATTTTACAAAGCAGGAGTCATTCATCTTTTACATACTGCTCTTGATAAATAGATCATGTGAGGAAGCTGACATGTCATTCACATCACCATGACCTCTAGGACTACCTTCGGCTTACCTGGCATTTTTTCTGGCCACTGAAAACATGGAGTCTGTCACTGGCTGGGCTGCCAAAGGAAGAGGAGGTGCAATGTTCTGACTGATGGCTGGGGACACCAAAGCTGCAGGAGCAGCATTTGCCATAAGAGGAACAACAGGAGATTCTTCTCTTGGGTTCTCTTCCATGTTCACCGAGGTCTGCTGACTAATGGCTGGAAGACACGAGGCTCTTGATTCCTGCTGGGAGCCTACATGTGGTCCCATACATGCTGGATTAACCTTTCATTTTAACCAAACAAACAAAAATGAAACCATGAAGTCCACAATATTACTAATTAGACATTATAGCTTTTCAAAGCATGGCCTCTTTCTTTAGGAGATTCTTTCCCCTTGAAGTGTTCCCTTACCCCTTTAGGTATTCTAAAATGAAGAGTCAATAACAAAAGACTACTCTACATGATGAACGCTTTTTAGTTTCTTAACCACAGACACCACTGGCAGCTCATATTTCTAAACACTGAAATAACCAGACTATACGGTTTGTATGAATATTTAAGTATTGCCTTATTCCTCTTTACTTAATTTTGGGAAAAGATAGCCAAATCAATGTTATCGAATGCTCATAATGGTGTTCCTTCCATTAAAATACTTGGTAGCCATTTGCTCTTTGAATGGAAAACATGAATATAAACTACAATAAATGTCAGCATGTTTCACAACAGGAAGGATAACAAGCTTTTAGTTGAAAACCTTTGCTTTGTTATTCTCATCTATGCAAGACTGCAATAATACACTTTAATGTACAGAGTCAAAAGATAGATGAGTTCATTTCTTACTATAAAAAAGTATTGTTACAAACTGCTGGGAAAAACACCAAATATCCAGGGCAAGAATAGTTATTTCACAGACTAATGGACAAAATATAAAAAGTTAATCCTCACTAGTCTCACACATTAATAAAGATTTTAAATGATCATATCCTGACATGTACCCTACATCTTTAAAATTAAAAAAATTATTTAAAAAATGATCATAATATTCAATTCTGAAGAAATATTTTGAATAATCTGAATTTCTCTACCAAAATATCAAAACACACAAAAAAGCTGTAATAAGTACACAATATGAAATAATCAGGGAGAGATCTATTGACCAAAACAAAGGTATAGATATTTTACAATTGGATCTGTGTATATAAAAATTTAGTACATAGTAAAGATATTCTAAGTCAATGGGGAATGGCTGGGCTGGTTAATAAATGATATAGGGACAACTGGCAATCCACTTGGAAAATATATCCTTATGCCACTCATACCCAGGCATCAGTTCCATAACAGGAAGCTTCTAGTTAAGGACAGTGGCTTAAACATGTGCTATCACGTACTCCCCCAAAAACCTCATCGAAATGACAGTGAAGGAATTCTAACACCTAAAGCAGCTGTTGGAGGAGGTTGGGATGAGATGTGTTCCTGATCTCTTGCGTTCAGAAATCTGCAGTACAAGATAAACCTCAGAAAGGAAGTAAAGGTGGAGCTGAAAACAGGAGTGTGACAAAAGTCAGTCTGTTTACAGAACAGATCCTGAGACCAATTCTTGCAGGTGCTTGCAGGGGGTGATTTCCCACACCTGGCCTGGCAGCAAACTGGAGGTTTCCTTTCTGGAGAAATAACCAAAAGGACTCTGGACTAGGGCTAAGAATGGTGATGAAAGACACAAGAAACAAGAGGACAGAGCCCACCTAGTTACTGAACAGTGGGACCTCCAGCTCCTTTCTTTAGCTCTACAAATGCTAGCAGCCTGGGTTCATACTCTCAAATAAAAAGATCCTGCTCTCAGAAATCTATTTGCCCAAAAAAACAGATTATCTCCCCGTGAAGCTGATGAGTTAACAAGCCCCACTCATGCACTCAAAGCTTCTAACCAGCTTTCTCAGGTCTACTCTTGGTCGAGTACACAGCAGAGATCATCAGACATCTCATGATAAGCTCTCAAGGTGAAGGCCAAAGGCCAAAACAAATGACACACTGAAATGGGAAATAAAGGATTCTGAGACAGGGGAACAAAAACCCCACTAGTATCCTCAGACTAAGAGGTAAGATATTACAGTCACAAAGCAAGAATAGGCACCTATGAAAATGAGCATACATAATAAAGAAACTTGATCCTAAAATGACATCAGAAGTAAAATAACTTAATAAGAGGGCCATAAAAAGTCAAGAAAATCTCCCAGAAAACTAGGGGGGGGGGGAAACGGATAAAGATAGAAAAAGGGTGAAAAAGTTAAGAAAATGAGATGATCAGTCCCGGATGGCCTTGCAGAGATTATACATGGGGAAAAATTATCAAGAACAAACAAAAAGTTATATTTATATGTAAAGAAAATTCCCCAGAACTTCAAAACTAAAACGTTCAAGTACTAAGTGTAATAGATGAAAAGATAAACATCACGCACATCACTGTCACAACACTGGAGAACAAGATGGTCCTACACACCACCAGAAAGCAACAAAAAAGGGTACATTCAAGAGCCAAAATTCAAGATTCTGGGCTTCCCCACACCAACAGTGCAAGCCAAAAGACAAGGGAGGAGAGAATTTCCTTACTAGAACATTGTGCCTGGCCAAATTATCAACCAAGTGAAAGAGTGGAGGCCAGGTTTGGTGGCTCAGTCTATAATCCCAGCACTTTGGGAGGCTGAGGTGACTGGACTGCCTGAGCCCATAGGTTCGACACCAGCCCGGGCAACTTGGCGAGACCTCGTCTCTACAATAAATCAAAAATTAGCAGGTATGATAGCACACGCCTGTAGTTCCGGCTACTTGGAAGGTTGAGGTGGAAGGATCACCAGAGCCCAGCAGGTCAACGCTGGGGTGGTCGTGAGTGTGCCACTGCACTCCAGCTGGGGTGATGGAGTGAGACTCTACCTTAAAAAAAAAAAGAGTGAAATAAAGATGCTTTAGACATGCAAGAGCCCCCAAAAGACTAATCCCTCAAACATATATATTTTTAAAAAGCTATTGAATACCATATGCCTTCAAAATGGGAACATTTAGGAGATATGAAGACACAAGAACCAGGGGTATATCACAGTAAAGGAGACAGGGAGAAGAGTTTCTTAACAATTTCTTGCAACTATCCAGGGAAAACACAAATTATACTAGGAAAAAAACCAAATAAATAAGAGAATAAATGAAATGATCCAATAGAAAAATTGGACAAATCCATCAACGTCAATATAAAGAAAAAAAAAGACAAACAGCCACTAAATGTATCAAAAAAAAAAAGTAAAAAACCCACCTATAATTAAAGAAACTACATCAGGTGCTGGAAAATTTAGTGTAGCTAATATTAGCCAAGTATATGAAAGAAATAGGTCCTTTTAGACACTGTTAATGTGAGTGCACAATGGTAAATTTTTAGAGGGCAGACTGACAGTATTTTAGGTGCATAAACTTGATACATCCATTTTTTCTACAGAAGTAATCTCATATGTACAAGAATCCTCACTATAGCATGATTTGTAAGTTTCTACACAATACATTCCCTTTTATAAGGTATGACAGATGACTGTTGAAAGAATGAGTTCGATCTCTAGCAATAATAGTGAAAGATCTGTCAGATGTGCTAGGCAGAAAACAGATCTTTATCTAGAAACTTCAATTGTATTCATATTTATGTTACTGTATAACAAGTCTGGAAAAATACAAACTACAGCAGTTAGCACTAAAGGAGAATATTCATTAAAATATATATGTGTGTACATGGATATATATACATGCACGTGTACACATGTATATAAATGAATGCACTCTTTCATGTATAGCCACATATCTACATAGATATAGATACACCTACATCTTTCATGCAATTTTAAAAAACCATTATACAGTCATGTATTTTTAGAATTTCAAAATAAGTAAGAAAATAAGATGTTTTATCTTCATGGCATCCTCTATCTTAGATAAACATAAACTATGTGGAAGGATTTTTTTGAGTTGGAGTCACTCTGTCGCCCAGGCTGAAGTATAGTGGCATGCTCATGGCCACTGCAGCCTTGCCTGATGGGTTTAGGTGATCCCTCCGCCTCAGCTTTCCAAGTAGCTGGAAAGACAGGCATGCATCACCAAGCCCGGCTAATTTTTTAAAAAATTTATTGTAGAGATGAGGTCTCGCCAAGCTGCCCAAGCTGGTCTTGAACCCGTGGGATCAAGCAATCCCCTCACCTCAGCCTCCCAAAGTGCTGGGATTATAAGCTTGAGCCACCGTGCCCAGCCTATGTGAAAGATTAAGTAACCATTAGTTACTTCCAATCTCCCTTACTCACTAATTTTAAGAAAATATATGTGGCTCTAATACACTCACCACTTCTCCCCTTTTCCAACGTAAAATAATAGCAAACACAATATATCTAGATAACAAATCAATGAAAGTATTAAATTCCTATTTTCATTACATAATACACAGTTGTACAAAAAAACAGAAAAAGGACTGAATATAAATACATGACTATATAAACATGTATACATACCTATATAAAACATACTATCCATTCTGTTCTGTAACTTCCTTCTCTCATTCTACCCTTTGAACATCTCTCTATGCCAAACTATTTTAAGATTTCAGAAAGTTAACAGCTAAACTAACACCAGAATGAATTCTAGAAATAAGCAAAGAATGTTAACAAAACAACACTGCAATTACTGCTGCTGGACACAGGGGGCTTCAGTGAACAGCATGGACATACCTCAGCCCTTTCCAGGAAAAGGGGCAAGTCCTCATGGGATGTCTCCACCACTTGATGCAACTTCTTGTGAAGCTCATCCATTTTCTGTTTTAACAGTTGTTCTTCAAAAGCATTTGCTTCTTTCTTTTTCATATAATGTCTGTCTTCATTTACTTTCGAAAAGATAAAAATTGTTTGCATGCAAAGTTTACATTTAGGTCATCAGAGAAATGCTTGCAAAATGAGAAAAGGGTTATACTTTAGGATGGCAGTTTTTCTTGTTAATCTTTTCCATGTTTATTAGATTTTATAAGTGAAACCTGTATTACCTTTTAATTTGTACCTGCCCTCCATTTGGTTACTATTAAGTTCAGGGTATGTAAGCTACTAAAAAAATTTACATGTCAATCAACAATAATACATGGTAATAGCGCGGTATAGCACTAAACATTTCTTGTAAACAATCATGATTATGCGAATTGCTTGAAAATTATTTTTCATTTCAGTTTTAAAAAGATTTCTAGGGTCTTTCTAAGAAGTAAAAGTGAAGTGCGCCGGGCTCGGTGGCTCAGCCTGTAATCCTGCGCCTTTGGGAGTTTGAGGTGAGTGAATTGCCTGAGCCCGCGGGTTCGAGACCCACCTGGGTAGCGAGACCTCATCTCTACAATAAATAAAAAAAATCAGCCGGGCATGGTAGCGCATTCCTGTAATTCCGGTTACTTGGAAGGCTGAGGCGGAAGGATCGCCGGAGCCCAGCAGGTCGAGGCTGCGGTGGCCGGGAGCGGCCACTGCACTCCAGTCTGGGCGACAGAGTGAGACTCCAACTCAAAAAAAAAAAAAGTGAAGTGCACTAAATGGTCAGAGCATCAAGCACACTGCAGTCAGTCCCATTTCCAGTAACTGGCTTGAGACTTCAGGTCATGGTGTGTGAAAGATACATGCATCTACATTGGCACACATAGTCTTCCATGAGTATTAACTGACGGTTTTCTCTGTTGTCGACCGAATATGAAAAGTAATGAATAGAAAAGAAAGGCCCAGAGTGGTTACAGTCGACATAACTGAGATGATATAAAAGCTCTGAGTGGAATAAAGGTTCAAATAACTGACGTAGAGGTTTAGAATTACTGTATGCAGATAATATTGACAAATTTTTAAATATTTATTTCACTAAAATGAAGATGACCCAGATATGACTATCTAATTTAGTGCTCTTTCAACTATGAATCTGCTGTCAAGACATCAATTCAGTCCTTAGACAAGCATGACTACTATACTAGTGTTTAATAATGATTTCTAGGGTTCTGCTAAGGTGACCTGGAGACTTTTTTTGGTAGAGTCTTTCAGCATAGTCAATTATTACATAAAAAATGTAATTACTCAGAGATGAGGGTTATTTTAAGTGACATAAGAATAATTGAAAATATAAGAATGCAAGTACCCCATTGCTCATGCTTTCTCCGTTGATTATATTTCTGGGCTCTCAGTTCTTCAAAGGAAAATTCAGATTCTCCACGAATCAGCTTCTCCTTGCAATACATTACAACCTGCTGAACATCAGGTTTGGCTGCCAAGGATGAGTGTGCAGAATATTCTGATTTAGAAATCATGATCACCCTTTGTTCCCTATAATGGGAAAAAACACTTTCTGTTTAATAGTGTACTGACACAGAGCCTGAGGGAAACTAAGTAATAGATTAATCCACTGATTGTACTTGCATATTTGACTCTTTATCACAAGCTGAAGACATCACTCCAGAAGGTTCTGAGCCCTAAAAGACACAAAACATGAGCATTCACTTATCAGAGAAACCTTCCCCCAAATTACTTCACAAAACAACATAAAAACGCTTGAGGGAAAGAGCTCCCTAATCTCAAATATTAATAGATTTAAATATATTCTTTTAAATTATAATTACTATCTGAAGCTTTAGTTTGCATCATTAACCTTACAGCTATTGCTACTTAATCCAATAAGAAAGTGATTTATTTTAAAAGTCCTACCCAGTAGATGAGAAGAGCTCTAATTGATTCCCCTCCAGTTCATAGTTCTAGCTGGGCTATAGTGCATTAGTGCTAAGGGATTAGCAATCCCAGTAGATACATTAAAAAAAAAACAACATATTAACATTTTCTTCAGGCACTACTCTTTCCTCAGCAGTTTCCAGTGCTAGCATTCATTCGCTAAACAAATATTTACCTCCTCTATGTCATGTCCTGAACTAGGGCTGGAGAATATGACTACAAACAAGATCTGTCTCTGCAGTCTAAAAACGTAGACAGTTAGGATAATAGGAATAACGAGGCTGACAAGCATGTGTAGGATGTAAAGTGAGACAGTTTGTACTACCTACCCAAATTAGAAATGCACATTCTACTTCTAAGAGCATGTTACATTAATAAAACATGTCCATGTACACCAAGAACAAAGGCATTTCCATTAGATATAGCTTCAGTGAGATCCTTGGAGAACTTTTAAACAGGAATTGTACTATGGAGGGGAAAAATGCTGGGTAACATTAGGCTGAAGGAAGGAGAGACGAGCATTTGCAAATGTTGATAAGCCACCAGGGCAGAAGAGATCTCAAAAGGGCAAAAATCTTGACGAGGATGGAGACCAGCACAAGTGGAAGGCCACCTTTCCCACAGGAATGTCAGGGAAGGATAAAGTTACATTTATTGGTTGGTGGCAGAAAACTGGCAGGCGTCATCTGATGGCTTCTGCTATCTGCTGAAATACTATTTTTGCCAGCTCTTAAGAGAGACTAGCCAGTTCCCAAGTTTGAGGAGAATGAAAAGAGTTTAAAATCGCTATAATTTGGCATTAAAGAGAGAACTGGTAAACATAAGAGACACACAAAACACAGTGAACTGGACACTGGAAGCATGTCCTAGTGCCTGGGGGTATTAGAGACCTGGTTGAGGTTACAGGCACCAATGTGTGAGTCTCCAAGTTTAAAGCAAGGCTCAGGAGCCTCTGGTGAGTGTGATCCAAGGGAGGATCTCCTGAGTCTCTATAGGAGGCCATCAGAACAAAGGAGAAAAGCATGTGCGTAGGGGAGAGGCTGCTAGGGGAAGTGAAGGCAGGAGGTTGTGTGGTGGGGTCTATGGGTCATATAGCATGTTATAGTTGAGGTGGGTAGTGGGTGATGATGACAAGCCCAGGACGTTGCCACTGGAGAGAGTGGCTGACATGGAGGTTAGAGTTGGGGGACACAAGTCAAAGAAATGAGATGCCAAAGCAGATGTAGAAGGCAGCCAGGATGGCTGTTCAATACCATTCCCAGTTTCCATATAACCTACAAACATCATTGTTACCTGATTCTTAGAAACGCAGGCCGAGTTATTTCCTGGATTTGATTTTGATGTTATCATTTGGTTTAAAACCTGAGCATTATGCAGAGGTTCTGAGGTTCTAGCTATGAGGGAAAAGAGGATGAAATAAGAAGAAATAAGACTAAAACCATTTTAAATAAAATTATTACACACAATACATTCCCGTGATCCTTCTAGTAAATAGCATAAGAAATAAATCAACTCATTCACACTGTCTCAGAAATTGCAACTAAAACATTTTTTAGATAAGAGAATTATTTTAGAGACAGTTTTCTGATCAATTCAAAATGCCCAAGGAAGTACTCAAGAGAAATGTGCAACTCGACTAGTTATTTTAAACCCTTGGATAGGATAGGCCATGCTTATTGCTGAAATGTGATCCTTATTTCAAGAAAAAAAAAATGACTACATTTCTTTAAAAGTTGCATTAAACACATTTGATTCAATTTGAAACAGATGGAGTCCAGAATAAGTATTGTCCTCTATTTTGGTCAATTTTGATTTTTTTTTTTTTTTAAATCCTAGAAATACAGTGAAATCATCAAGCTCTTCTTGTAGGTTTGCTCTTTTGAAGTGCTAAGACAAAGCCCCTGCTCTCCAGGGCTGTTTAGTGGGCATTATGATGTCCAGAGTGCTTTTCTTGTTACCCAAGACAGTACAATTTGGTTTTCATTAAATACCAGAAGTGTTTGTTTTTTGAAGGAAGAAAAAACAAGCAGTACACATCAAAGACTAAATTATCAATAATTTAGATGTTTTAGAAAGTCTCATTTTACCTTGAGCTGGCAAGCGAGTTTCAGTGAGGCGTGTCTGAAATAACCTAAATGACAGATGAAAAGGCATCAACATAGATTATAAACCTAATTTAATACATATCTGTTAGAGCAGAAACTAAATACTATAGCTTATTATAAACTAGTAAATAAAGACTGAGGTCAAGAGAGAATGTACAGTTGAATTTTAGAGTTACTTTAAAATTTAAAAATAACCTTATGGGAATATCTTCATATCCAATATTCCACCCCATTAGAAAAATTTCTCCTTTTACCAGTTTATGTCAGAATTTCTCAAATTCACATAACTGATGCACCCTCTTGTTCCATATATCAAGCCTGCAAATATTCTAACAGAGGGTATTTGAGCTCTTACTTCAGGTATTTTACACATTTGGAGCACAATGAATATATTTGGAAGAAGTAGAAATATAAAAGTACTTAGACTACTGCTTCAAAAGGCAGATACTCATACATTATTGCTCCTGCTCTATGAGAACTTCTCAAATATGTCATTTCACGGCACCTTGTTGAATACTATGCAACACCCAAGTCTGACATTTTTGGGCAATGCAAGCCAAACTACCTGCTGTAAAAAGACTAAGAGATGTACATTCAAATGCAACCAAATGCTAAACCTTGTTGGCTCTTAATTCAAACAAACCATGGTTTTTAAAAAATGGGTTTTTTTACATAATGAGGGAACATTGAATATCAGATAATATTGCAAAGTTATTGGTAATTTTGGTTGGGCGTGGTGGCTCAGGCCTGTAACTCCAGAACTTTGGGGAGAAGAGATGGTAGGGTTGCTTGAGACTAGGAGTTTGAGACCAGTCTAGCCAACTTAGTAAGACTTCATCTCCACAAAAAAAAAGAAAGAAAAAAAAAATTATCTAGGCATAGTGGGAGACACCTGTACTCTCAGCTACTTGGGAGACTGAGGAGAAGGATTGCCTGAGTCCAGGAGGTCGAGGCTGTCATGAGCTGTAATCATGCCACTGCACTCCAGCCTGGGGGAGAGTGAGATTCTGACTCAAAAAAAAAAAAAAATAGTTATTGTTAATTTTGTTAGGTGTGATTATGTAATAAGGTTCTGTCAGAAATAAGCTTTTAGAGATGTTTATAGTAGTGTTTGGGGTAAAATATTTTGCTGTCTTTGATCTGCTTTAAAATTCTTCAGCATAGAAAAAACACGATGAAATGGCTATTATTAAAAGCAGGTGATGGATAAGTAGAGGTTCATTATACTAATTTTTCCTTTTTATGTTTGAAAATTCTCATAATAAAGTTTTTAAAAAGCATGAGTACTGTAGCAAATTTGAAAACAAAAAGAATATATTAAAGGTTGGCAAGTGGTACAGTGGATAATGGGTCTCAATTTCCCCTAATGAGAGAGGCACAGTATAAAACTGGCACAGATTTTGAGTAGGTAGCTTGGTTATATGCACCAGTCTTAAAACTCGCCATACATCCTTTGACTCAATAGTTTCAATTCTGAGAATCTATCAGAATAAACTAAATAAAAATAGGAAATATCCTTAGAAAATACTGTTATGATAAAAGAAAAAGCTGCATATGTAGATAAAGCATGCATGTGATCCAATAACAAGCACAGCACAAATGCCAAGGAAAATGCCAGAAGGTTTTTTCTTTAGCTTTCTGTATTTTTGAAATTCTCTATGTGAGGTACACTTAACCATGGAAAAAGTTTTAAAAATGTGAAGGACAAGGTTAGTTATTAAGCTATTCATCATGGTGTCAATAACAACCAAGATGTAAACAATGTAAATGTCCGATTGTAGAGTGGTTAAATTATGACAGCTCTGGGACAGATTTCATAACCCACTTTAGAAGCAGTTTAAAAGTTCGTTACTTTTTAAGAGAAGTATAAATGCAGTATGCATACAGGCAGATTTACTGCTAAAATATACAGAGACACACACACAGGTATAGGAAAAGATATTGGAAGGAAATTTGCCAATTACTGTCAACAGTAATATTTCTGACTACTTCTCCTACACATTATCCTGTGTTATACACATTTTCCACAACTAGGATTTATCTGTACAAAATAGGTAACAATATAATTTTAAGAGCAAATATTACATTTCAAAGTAGGAAACATTTCGAAGGAAGCATCATGGGGAGCTTGACTTTGCAACTAACCTGTAATGTTGCTGCAGGAGCTCTCTAGGTTCGGCCTGGTTTTGAATCCCTCTCCGGAAGACAGCACTGGCATGCTGCAGCTCTCCCTGGGCTTCCAGGTGTCCTGCCCAGGCTATGTACAGCGGGGACGACAGGGCTCCGATCCCGTGGTTATACAGAAACTCAAAAAACTGATGGAGGTCACTGTTGTACTCAGCCTACAGGAACCCAAAGCAAGACACAGTAAGAACAATGGAACTGTAAGTGCAGGTCTGACCTGGAGTCCAGCCAGCCCTCAGAGTTCAGTCTTCTTGAGGCCTCAGGATGTACTGTGTCAGGGAACACAGGAGTGGTTCTCTGATGGCAAATCTAAAGGTTAGGCTCATTCCTTTTCTTGACATTCAATGTCCATACTATTTCCCAAGATGGCAGTCTATACTAACTCATTACATAAAGTTTACTTTTATTTTCTTGATCTGAGCTTGCTCCATTAAGTTCAATAGGATGCCTCAAATTACAGTGTTCTGTAATTTAGTGACCACATTCATGTTTACCCTATCCACTCCATTTGTGATTTTATTACTAGCGTTTTCTCCCCTAAGCCTTTACTTCCAGACTGAGCAGTCTCAACCTTTTAAAACCTAACCCGAGTTCGCCTTTTCCTCTTAGTAGTAAATTTAGTTTCTGAGAGTTAAAATTTTCTTAATGAATCAAAATGAATTTAATTTATTCCTGGGGACACTCTTAGTACCTGGGAGAGTACCTATTTGCTGTCCCTCTCCCAAATGTACTTCACATCTAACAAACCTTCTTTTAATGGCTTCTATCTTGTGCTATAACATTTATAGACTTGATACACAGAGATGGAGGATTTTAAAATTTAATCACTGACTCTACAACATAGAAGCCAAAGGTTCTAAAATACATCTCTGACTATATAGCTTTTTAAAATTTAAGACTGGTATGATATTGTCAGATATAATCATATGCCACATAACATTTTGGTCAATGACCAACCATATATACGGTGGGGACCTCATAAGATCATTAGCTGAAAAATTCCTATCTGCCTACTGACATTGTAGTTATCTTTTTCTTCTCTTTTCTAATTGGATCTCATTCTGTCGTCCAGGCTGGACTGCAGTGGCATGACCACAGCTCACTGCAGCCTCAACCTCGTGGGCTCAGGCAATCCTCCCAAGTAGCTGGGAGTACAGGTGTGCACCACCAGGCCTGGCTAACTTTTTTTCTTTTTTGGTAGAGATGAGGTCTCACTATGTTGCCCTGGCTGGTCTTGAACTCCTGTGTTCAAGCAATCCTCCCGCCTCGGCCTCTCAAATTGCTAGGATAATAGGTATGAAATATCATGCCCAGCCTCGTAGCTGTCTTAAAGTTGTTGCTCAATGCATTCCTCATACATTTGTGGTGACGCTGGTGTAATGAAGCCTATTGGCTATCACTCACATAAAAGTATAGCACATACAATTATGTAAAGCACACAATATTTGATAATGATAACTATGTTACCTGTTTATGTGTTTACTATATTATACTTTATCATTATTTTAGAGAGTATTCCTTCTTCTTATTTAAAAAAATTGAAATGTAAAAGAAATTCAAGCAGTTCCTTCAGGAGGTATTCCAGAAGATGTTATCACAGATGACAGCTCTATGCAAGTTACTGCCCTTGAAGACCTTACAGTGGGACAAGATGTGGAGGTGGAAGAAAATGATATTGATGATCCTGACCCTGCGTAGGCCTAGGCTAATGTCTGTCCCATTTCCTGGCATATGACTCCTAATATTCTTGGAATCTGTCAAGTGAATTTTTAAATATGGTAATGAGTTGACTTGAAGTCCGGCAGTCCCTATATAGCTTCAGATAGGGGCTGGTCACCAGCAAAATCAAGGCATGATTAGAGGGTTGGGACTTGGAGCCCCCACCCCAGAAACTCTAGGGTGGGAGAGGGGATGAAAGTTAAGTTGATCACCAAGGGTGTGTAATGAGGGTATCACACCTGGAGAGGGTAAGAAAGCTCCAAGCCCCTTTCCCAAGACCTAACCTATCCATCTCTTCATTTGGTGGTCACTAGTATCTTTTGCAATATCCTTTACAATAAACCAGTAACCATAAATGTTTCCCTGAGTTCTTTAAGCTGATTAACTGAATCTGAGGAGTCATCGTGGGAAACCTGCTTTATAGCCAGTCAGTCAGAAGCACATGTAAAACAATCTGGGGCTTGCAACTGGCATTGAAAGTTGGGAGCAGTCTTGTGCGACTGAGGCCTCAATCTGTGGGATCTGATGCCAGCTCCAGGTAGATAGTGTTGGAAGTGAATTGGAGGACACCCAGCTAATGTCCACTGCAGAACTGATTGATTGGCTGCTGATGAGAAGTCCCAACACACTTTTTGGAGACCAGAGGTCACAGAAGTCCTCTGTGTTGTTGATAAGAGAATAGAAAAAGTTTGTTTTTCCTCTCTATATCTTCAGAACTGGAAACAAGGAATTAAAAATAAAAGACAGTCTAAAATGATCTTATAATCTGGTGGAAAAAAAAGCAAAAGCACAACATGATTATGGATTTGATTATACACCTGAAAGTATACTTACAAATTTTAAACAATAATTGATGAATCTTGGGTCATTGTGGTATCTCTTCTTATCTAAAAATTCCTTCATTAAATGTTCTAATAAAGTTGTCAGGTAGTCTTTATTCTTAGGAAAATTCTCTTCTACCCACTGTATGTATCTGGAAAAATTTAGATAATGTTAATTTTCCACAGCGCAGTATAGAGTTTGTTTAAGGGAAAAAAATAAAGAGAATGCTAACCTTTCCCATTCACCAAGTGGGTCATCACCCTTGTAGCTCTGCATATGGGCTTCAAACATTCTAGAACAGAGAAAAGTATGCACATGGGATATTAGGGATAATTCCTAAAAGCAAAAGATATATTTGATTAAATTTATATACAATCAAATGATAAACATATCTTAAAGTGGAAATCTTAAATATTAATCCAAGTACCATATAAAATTTAAAAGAGAAGTCACTCAGAAACGGTCAGAAAACCCAGGAGCAGCCAGTGTTTTTCCAGAAGTAGGTCTCAGCTCTATCCCCAAGGGCTATTTCCTTCTCTCACTGATCCCCAGCATCACGACCATCCCGGGAGGGCTGTGTCCAAAAGTTTGCTGCTCCTCCTCGTAACAGTGGGATCCAGGCATGATACCAACTCTGACTCCTGCCCTTGCTTCCCAGGAGCATACCTGAGACATGGCTGGAACATATTCAAAGAAGGCTTGTAAATGAGTGTGAGACAACTCAGGGTGCCAGAAGGGGGAGTTTCAGATAGTTTGTTTTCCAGGCCTAAGTGTAACACAATGTCCCCGAGGAAGAACACATGAGGACAGCACTCAGAAATCAGTCACTAGAGCTCCCAAAGAACTATGCTTCCCCTACTTCCACAGGCGCAAGCATAGCTTTAAAAAAAATCAACCAGGCAAAGCAAAATTCTCCAAGAACGCAGGTGCTATGGAGGTAAACAAACAAAAAGCAGCAGTTTTCTATCTGAGAAACTACACGATTTTTAAAAGATGATTTAAAAAGCAATATTTACTTCCAGTTCATATGTTACCTCAGTATGCAAATGAAGTTTATGACTCAAAATTTGGAAGCCACAAAAGAAAAGCTAAATAAAGACAACTATACATAAATAAAATAAATACTTCCACATGGCAAATAAAACAAAAACACCAAGTAGAGTCAAAAGAGAAATGATAAGCTGGAAAAACAAATGAGCTTCTAGAAATTGAGAAAAAAGTTATTAAACCATTTTTTTAATGAGCAAAAGGATAAGAAAGCATTTCATAAAAAACTACATGACTCTCAAACATGAAAAGATGTGCAGCTTCTTTCATAAGATAACTGAGATACAATTTTTCACCCATCAGATTGACAAAAATTAAAAATGTAATGAGATTGTGTAAGCAATGGGAAGCAGGCTCTCTATCACATCTTGCTTGCAAGTGAGAGTGCACTCAACTTCTGGCAAAGGAATTGGTACTATCTACCAAAACCACTGATTGATTTGCTTTTGATCCAGCAAAACTTCTGGGACCTAGAAGACAGACAGACATATATGTGTATGTGCAAAATAGCATATATACAAGATTTTTCATTGGAGTACTATTTGCAATTGCAAAAGATTGCCAACAATCTGTGCCTACCAACAGGGGACTATTTAGAACAATTATTGTATATGAAATATTATGTAAAAAGAATGAGAAAGAATTGGGTGTGAGAAGCCAAGGCAGGAGGATTGCTTGAGCCCAGGAGTTTAAGACAAGCCTGGACAATACAGTGAGACCTCATCTCTACAAAAAAATCAAATAAATACTGTGTGTGTTGCCGCATGCCTGCAGTCCCAGTTGCTCGGGAGGCTGATGCATTAGGATTGCTGGAGGCCTAGAGTTGGAGACTGCAGTGAGCCATCATCATGCCACCACACAAGAGTGAGACCCTGACTCGAAAAAAAAAAAAAAAAAAAGAGCTTTACAATTGATAGCTCTTTTGTTTTTTTTCTCTCCCAACAATACTGTTAGGCAAAGCAGTGTATATACCCTGTTACATTTTATGTGAAATAAAGGCAAAAAAAAGTTACATACATACATGTATATAAACATACAGACACTTGACATATTGTAATAACATAAATGTTTATATTTTCATAAAGAAACACTTGAAAAACAAAATAGAAAAGTAGTTACATATGAAGGAGGAGATAGACAGGTATAGAAGTTCTCAGTGAATATTTTTCCAATTCTTCTTTTTAGTCATAATTAATGTATTCCTTATAGGAATTTAAAAATTACTTGCAGATTTCGAATCTCACAGCGGAAACCTTCTTCCAAAATATGTGTAATAGGCTGCCCAACATAAACATTGCATGTTCTTATACCAACCACATTTCTCCAGTAAAATGACCTAAATTTATTGCAAGTTAAAAATAAAACACCCAGTTCATTAAAGCAAATTAATCTCTAGAAAGTCAAAATGAGATCAGAAATATTGAATATCCCTTTAAAAATGAGGGCAGGCCAGGCTTGGTGACTCAGCCTGTAGATCCCAGCACTTTGGAAGCCCAGGGGTTCGAGACCAGCCCAGGCAACTTGGCGAGACCTAGTCTCTACAATACAAAATCAAAAATTAGCCAGGCGGCGCGCCTGGTAGTACGGCTACTTGGAAGGCTGAAGCGGAACGATGGTCTGAGCCCAGCAGGTCGACGCTGGGGTGGCCGTGAGCGTTTCAGCCTGGGTGATGGAGTAAGACTCCAACTCAAAAAAAAAAAGAGGACAGAGGACTTCCAAGAGAAAACAACTGGATGGCTAGATTGAAGTTTAAAGAAAAACATCTTAAAGCAAACAGATTTTTGTTTTGACTTTATTTAACGATCTCTGTCTTCTGATCTTAAAGAACTGATAAAATGAACCAATTTTACATCTTGCAATATATGATGGAATTCTTTTAAATGCTTTTTCATCACAGTCTGGGTAAATCGCCTAAGTCATTAAATACACAAAGGCGTGACAACTTTAAAAACTCTTAGCAGGTTGGCACCAATCACTCAACAACAAACAAAGCTTTTTTTTCCCTTAAAGTGCATGGTGTCCAAAGACTTTTAAAAGGGGCAAGACAACAGTTTTAAACTCTGCTATAGTAGACTTTCTAAATAAGTAACTGAAAATTTATCACAAAACCTGGGGTTTTATGGGGTTTGGGGTTTCTGTTGGGTTGAACTTTTCTCTTCCACAGGGCCGATCTGTCAGCGGGGAGTTGTTGACAAATAAACAAGATCTCTGGGGCCTCACGAACTACCCAGATCCCCGACACAGTGGCCGCAGCTGGGCGGACCAGGACAGAGGTCTCCGCGGAGAGCCCCGGCAGCGCTGTGACCAGTCCTCTGCGCGACTCACGAGTGGTCTTGGCCTTGCCGGGGTGAAACAAACTCCAAACCCAGGAAAGGGGCGGAGGGGGCAAAAAGAGGCAGGTCTGGGGCGGGCCAGACCCGAACTCCAGGAGCTCCAAATCCCTCGGCGCCTCCACCCCACCAGACCGACACTTACTGAAAGACATTCTCCGGGTTCTCCATGGCGGGAGGACGCCGGCCTACCGCAGGGCGATGTACGCCGCAAGCGAGGAGCCGCCGCCAATTCGAATCTCCCGCGCAGCCGCAGTCGCCACGCCGGGCGTTTTCACGGCACCCGGCCATTGGTCGCGCCAGCAGAGGGGCGGCCGGTCACCCCGGCATTGCCAGGAGATCAAGTCCCGCCCCCCTTCCGCACCGGAAGCTCCTCCCACTTCCGGTAGCTGGTGGTGGACCTGAAACCCGGCGGCGAGGGGACCTAGTCTCCAGTAGTTCAGCCCGCGGTGGGAGGAGGCTCGGTCGTTTGGCTCGGGGATAGGAGGGATTGGGGATTTTTTTTTTTTTTTCAGCTGTCCAGGTTGTAAATGGTGTAGATAACTACACGACTTTTTCTTTGTGTTTTTCTGAGTTGGAGTCTCACTCCGTCGCCCAGGCTGGAGGGCAGTGGCACTCCCATGGCCCCCAGGCTGGGCTCCGGCGACCCTTCCGCCTCTGCCTTCCAAGTAACCGGAACTTACAGGCGCGCACTACCACGCCCGGCTAATTTTTAAAATTTATTTATTGTAGAGACGGGGTGGGGGTGAGGAGGGCTTCTCGCCAAATTGCCCGGACTGGCCTCGAACCGGCGGGCTCCCGAAGTGCTGGCATGACAGGCTGAGCCACCGAGCCCGACCTCATTACACGATTAAGCTGCCATTTCCAGGAAACGCTTCGCAGAAAAAAAATGTCCGTCTCGAGCCCCCTGAGCCCGGAGAGTCGCGCCTCTTGGTCCCCTCCGCCTAAATTTGTAAACCAGAGCAAGTAGGTCTGGCTCATGGGACGAAAAAATTCTGTTTGTAGGGTCGAGACTGTGGTTGCTTTAGGCCGCGGAGCCGGGGAAACGCCGGCCAATGCTCTGGAGATGGGCAGGTGGGGAGGAAAAGGGAAGCCTGCGGGCGGGCGTGGCCCCGTTTCTGGCAGCTTTCTAGACGGCGTCCTCGGCAGAAGAAAAGAACCCAGATGCCAAGGCTGCTAAAACCTTAAGAGAACTAAGGGCGTGGTGGCTCACATTTTTAATCCCAGCACTTTGGCCGACTGAGGCGGGAAGATTGCTTGAGTCCAGGAGTTCGAGACCAGCCTGAGCAACAAAGCAAGCCCTCGCCCCTACTTAAAAAAACAAAAACCACCAGAGCCCAGGGATTCAATCAGGCTGCAGGGAGCCACGGTCATACCACTGCACTCCAGCCTGGGCAACCGGCTGAGACCCAACTCAACAAACAGACCCTCAGTTCCAGACTCTAAGATGCGATGGCAAGGAGTGACAGAGTGATTCATGAAGGACCCGTGGAAAAACCTAAGTAGTTTTTGGCACGTGAGGGTACGTAAGCAGGTGCTCAATGGTTGTCGGTAACGGTGTTTTAGACATGGCAGATCAAGGGGCAGGTGTGTGCCCTTGTGGACCTCTGGGTTTGTTCTGAGAGGCTGTGTATGGCACCCTGGAGTGAATAGGAGTTTGGGTAAGATTATGGAATGCTAGCAAGACAACTTTCAACATCTTAGAGACCAGGAAAGAAAAGTTTTCAACATCTGGGAGATTCTGGAAACCAAGTTCTTAGGAATCATAAAATAAAGAGACCTTTTGTAGTGGAGTCCAGACGTCTAAGAAGAAATATGTAATATGCTGATGCCTCCTAACGAAGAGTGAGTTGGAAAAGAGCCCAGCCTTCTCTGCTCTTTGGTCTTCGGTAAAACTTCCGCCTCTACCCTCAAGATTGCTTTTCAAGGGCTACTTGACAATACAAGTAAAATATACAGAGCTATTCAATCGACTGCCTTTCTTTTAGAAAGAGGTTGTGTGGACGTTTTGGCTTCTTTAGAGCCTCTTAAATATCTTTTAAAAAATTTTTGCCGAAATGGAAAATCCTGATACTTACAGAGTCCAGAATTTCTCCCAGCATGTTGATAGCTTTGGAGCTAAGTGTCCAATCTGAGGGGTTTCTTATTTGAGAAGTGCCCATTCTGGGGTCTTTAGACAGGTGTTAGTTTCTGCTCACCATCACAGGAAATAAGGCTTTTTTTGGCCCCACCAACTTAAGTTTTCAACTATTTCTGAGAGTGGCTGAGTCAGTAATCATTAAGGAAATGTAAACAGGATCTCTCATGAACTAGGTGCTAATTACAACCTACTCTAACTCAAATAGAACCTGTCCTTAAGAAACTAGTGGACTACATGAAGACACAGTCATAGAGAATTGTTTAAAGACGGTGTGTATTACCTAGTGTGCATTAAGAACCAAGTGAGGGTTCAGATTATATCTGCCAGGGGAGTGCAGAGGGAGAAATAATGGGGACCTGTCAGACAAAGCTTCGTGGGGAACGCAGGGCTTGAATTGGGCCTTGAAGAAGGGTTGGGGCAGAGCCGGGGGAAGTCATTCCAGATGTAAACCAAGATTACAGAGAGAGACTACCCTTGAGGACTCATATTAATGAGCAGTAGATATTCTTTTTTAAAAGACTGGTTTGCTGGTTTGCTTTTTTTTTTTTGAGTCGACATCTCTGTCATCCAGGCTGGAATGCAGGGGACAATCACGGCTTACCACATTCTCAAACTCCTGGGCCAACCTCCCACCTCAGCCTCTTGAGTAACCGGGACTACAGATGTGTGCCACCAGGCCCAGATAATTTTTATTTTGTAGAGATGAGGTCTCGGTATGTTGCCTGGGCTGGTCTCCAATTCCTGGGCTCAAGAGACCTCCTGCCTTGGCCTCCCAAAGTGCTAGGATTACAGATGTGAGCCATTGTGCCTTTCTTGATTTGCTTTTATTTATTTTTAGTTGGAGTCTCACTCTGTCGGCCAGGCTGGAGTGCAGTGGCACTCTCACGGTCACCCTAGTGTGGATCTGCTGGGCTCAGGCTATCCTTCCACCTCAGCCTTCCAAGTGGCCGGTGCTCACTACCATGTCCGGCTAATTTTTTTGTTTTTGTGTTGTAGAGATGAGGTCTTGCCAAGTTGCCCGGGCTGTTCTCTAATCCTTGGGCTCAGGCAATCCTCTCATCTCAGCCCCACAAGGTGCTGGGGTTACAGGCTTGAGCCACTGCGCCTAACCCTGATGAGCTATTTTGATATCAAATTGTTAATGCTAGATTAAGGAGTTTGTACTTGTTCATATAGAAATGGGTCTTTTTGACCAAATAAGCTTGTGATCATAAGAACCTTGTGATAGTTGCAGCCAGTTCTACCCCGTTTTTTAAAAGCCACAGATACTGCCTACTCTACTCACTTCTGCTACTAAGACTTCCTCTTCCACAGAAAGAGGTAAGGTATTCTAGATGCTGTTCCACATTGCCTTTTAAAAATGGCAAATTAACCCCTTTTAAAGCCCCAGTGCCAATTGCCATTGTTATATCCATGGGTAATAGAAATAAAATACTAGGGTTGTCAGCAGTGACTAGAAACTGACATTTTTCTGGGAATAACTTCCTGGTTTACTCAATGACTTCCCTTTGTCCTCACTTACGGAAGTTCGCCTCTGCCATTGTTCTGAGGAAGAATTAAAATGATCCTCACAATGTGTTCATTGTAATGTCCGTATTAAGTTAATTAACCTAATAATCTAAATCCTGAACCTGCTAGTGTTCGAGATTTATTGGGGATGGAGGGAGGGATGGGCAATATAGGCAGAAAACAGTTATTTGCAGACTTTAGATTGGCGTTGTAGGCAGAAAGGATGGAAAGGAGGAAATCAGACATCATGGAAGGAGAATTCTCAGAATACAATGATGTCTTCATATATAAGAAAAAGAAAAGAATAAATAATTTGGGGGCCTAGGAGAATTTGTAGAAACAGGACACAGTAGCTTCATTTTTACTGTGTTGAGTTGGAGGGGTTACCAGGCCTTCTACACAACAAAACTAGTCATCTTAGAGAACAGAATCAGGTATGGTTTACAGACTTCCGAGGCTTATAGGAAGAAGTTTCAGGTGCTGTTTCCTAAGCCTAGAAGGATTTGTTTCCCTAAGAGCTTCACATTATCTCCACATGCCAGGAATAAAGAACTTCTGAGCAGTTTAATATTTTGATGAAGATGATCAGTAAACCCTCCCCCAAACTGGCAATTGACAGAGCAATATAAGCAGAAAATGGTTACCAGAGAACTGGCAAATGTGTTGCTTATTTTTTAAATATTCGCTAATTGGAAGCTTATGCCACTAATAGCACTCCAACTTTCATCTGATCTCACCCATGTCCTCCTTAATCTCCCTCTCCCCTTTTTGCTCAGGTCTGAGTTGAGTATAGCATTTGTCATGGAATAGCTTATAGTCTGTTAAATAATAATACTGGCTTCATTAATCTATCCTTATTTTTGGCATTGCTATTACCTTAGTGCTTTTGTTACCCTATCTCCCCAAACCCACCCCAGAGCATGAGACTCCGGAGAGGTGTGTCTTGGTCTGGGTGAGAGCAGCCATTCCAGCTACATCTAACGTATGCCTTTCCTGCATGAGATGCAGGAATGTGCTGCTGTTTTTCTTTCCAACTCATTCACTTCTTAAGCTGTTTTTAATATTTCGTTAGTCATGTCTAAAATGACTCTAATAGATTTTTCTAAATTATTAGGAAGGCCAATGGATAAAGTATTTTCATTTGTATATAAGCTTTCAGTGACTGTTATTCTGATGTCATAATTTTCAAACTTATTGGAGAAGGAAAACCAGGCTCAGGGTACCTCAGCTCCAACTATGACTTTCCCAGGTAAATTACCTAAAAACTCTCCAATCTGGGCATCAGTTTCCTGATATGTAAAATGAGGAAAGAAACCTGTCTCTTTGCCTTCTAATGTTCCTCTAACTTCCACTATCCTATAACCTCATAAGATTTCTCACTTAATTCCTAAACTCTCTTGGGTTATAATGTGATATCATAGTTAGTGCTGTTACCAAAAAGGAAAATAACTATTTTTTTCTAGGTTTTGCTGATTTGACCTAAGCAAATAATTACAGATACCTGTATGGGCGAGCGGGGAAGAGGAGGGGGCAAAAAACCCATAATTTATTTATATAAAATTGTGTGTTTATTCTTACATGTTTAAACTTGAGTCACCTTCAAAGTACTCTCCATTTGATGCAATACACCTATCAAGACACT